TCTCTGGAGTTATTGAATTTTTCTACCTTGAAAAATTCTCTTTTTTGTTAAACCAGGCATCTTTGTGGCTGTTAGATATGACTGCACAGACCCCAACTTGGATTCAGACTGAATGAGCATTAATACATTCTCTCCCTTTTTCAGGCACTGTATGATCAAATTAGTATAAATTTGATGGCTCCAGAGCTCCCGCAATAATAGGTGTGAAGCAAGCTTGGTCAAACTTGGCTAGAAAGTTCTGCTTCCATTCATGGTAAAATGGTCCTACGGAGCAGTGCTATCCTTAATTGATGGCAAAACCTTGATGTGGAGGCATTGGATGGAGTGAGGAATGATAACTGTGATGCAGCTAATTGACAGCAATAAATTTAAACCATTTGTGGGTCTTCAGCAATAGTTTTGCTTGCCCTGCTTCAGATCTAGAAAAATAAATTAATTTAATTGGATCTATTTACAAATGTATTTGGGCTAGATGCATTGGGAGCTCCAGAACTTTTATTATGTTGGAGGAAACTTCCTGGATTTATTTGGCCAGTGATATCCTTTTACAACTGTCTAGCCCAAAAAACTCAGCTAAAGATTGATAATTTCAGAGTTGCTTAGAACAGAGATTTTTGATACACAGCTCTCTGATCCAATGAAATACAATCATATCTAATGTTAAAAAAGCAACTATAGATCTGAGACTACATCTTATTCACAAAAAGTCTTTCAAATATGCTGGTCCCTCCATAGGTTAACAGTAATGGGCCTCAAATGCTGACTGCTGTTGGAAGTGTAATTCCCTTGGTGCTACTTTAGTTCATATGTTTTGGGAATGCCCCATATCAAGAATTTGTAGTATGAGGTGGGTCAAAGGATCAATTTGATATTGGACACTAAATTGGAGCCCTCCCCATTAAGTTTCATTATTCAATATATTCCTGATATCTGGTGGTTATTTGGTAACAAGGCAGCATGGTTCCAATGTACAGCTTTGGTTGCTAAAAAATTAATCCTGCAAAAATGGAATAGTTGATCCCCACCAAACACTGATGCCTGACTCAGTGATATGGCTGCCCTCACTGCTAATAGACAACAGAAATTCTGCAGAAAGGGAATGCCTGGAAAATTCAGAGCCATTTGGGCTGACGTTTTTGAGGTCTATGATTATCTTTAGCGTCTGCATTAGCTATGTTGCTTCCCCTCCCTTCCTTAATCTGAAGGATTTTTCTTTATTCTGTGCATTATGATTAATGCAGGAGAGGGAGTTTGTGGGGGGGGGGTGAGAAAACCTGGATTTGTGCTGGAAATGGCCCACCTTGATTATCATACACATTGTAAAGAGAGTGGTCACTTTGGATGGGCTATTACCAGCAGGAGAGTGAGTTTGTGGGGTGGGGGGGGCGGAGAGTGAGAAAACCTGGATTTGTGCTGGAAATGGCCCAACTTGATGATCACTGTACATAAGCTATTACCAGCAGGACAGTGGGGTGGGAGGAGGTATTGTTTCATGGTCTCTATGTATATAATGTCTTCTACACTTTCCACAGTATGCATCCGATGAAGTGAGCTGTAGCTCACGAAAGCTCATGCTCAAATAAATTGGTTAGTCTCTAAGGTGCCACAAGTACTCCTTTTCTTTTTGTGAATACAGACTAACACGGCTGTTATTCTGAAACCTATGATTAATCTGGTATTTTGTTGTAGTTGGAAAAATATGTATGTTATTTAAAAGATAAACAATGCATTTCCTGATCCCAATTCACATAAAGTACAATCATGTATCTATAGCAGGGGTCGGCAATCTATGCCACGCGTGCCAAAGACAGCATGCGAGCCGATTTTTAATGGCACGCTGCTGCCTGCCGGGTCCCAGCCACTGGCCCCGCTCAGCCTGCTGCCGAACCCAGGCTGGCAGCGGGCTAAGCAGGGCCAGGGCCAGGCCCCGGCCCCCGGCAGGCAGCAGCGTGCCATTAAAAATCCTGCCCGCCCCGGCCCGCTCTTCTCCGCCCCCCGCCCCAGCGGGGGCAGGGTGAAGAAGCTTGGTCCTGCTGGCGGCTGCTGCTGCAGGGCAGGCAAGTTCCCCCGCCTCTTCCCCCAGCATGCTGGATTTCTGCCCCTCCTCCTCTCCCTCCCTGCCACCAGTCAGCTGATGGCCCTTGCCAGGGAGGGGGAGAAGCAGAGCCACTTGCTGCTCTGGGGAGGAGGCAGAGAAGAGGTGGGGATGGAGCCTTGGGGAAGGGGGTTAGAATCAGGGCTTATCTCCTCCAGCCCCCTGCCGTGAGCCGCTCTAGGCAGGGGGCTGGGAGCACCCCCCATGACCCTAGCCCACACCCCCCATGCCCTGACCCCTGCACTCCCCACACACACTCCCAGCCCTATGCCCCGACTCCAGCACGCCCCCACATACCCAGCCCCCCACACTCCATGCCCTGACTCCTGCACCCTCTTCACATGCCCCCAGCCCTGACTCCTGCACCCCCCACATTCCCACCCCCAGCCCTGAGCACCAAATGGGAGCTCCTGCACCCCTCACACCAGATGGGAGCTGCCCAGGTAAACACTTCACACCCAAACCTCCTGCCCCAACCCTGAGCCCCCTCCCTCATTCTAGCTCCTGGCCAGACCCTGCAACCCAACCTGCTCCTTCACCCCCAGCCCTGTGCTCTGTGCACCCCCACCCTCAGCTCAGTGCAGAGAGGGAGGAAGAGAATGGGCTAGAACCAGGGAGAAGGTAGGTACCCACTCTATGTTGGCAGGGCTGGGATCCCAGACTGGCAGGGGGCTGAGTGGGGCTGGCAGCCAGGACCCTGGCTGGCAGGAGCTGGCGGATGGAACCCCAGACTGGCAGCGGGGTGAGTGGCAGCAGGCTGAGCTGCTCAGTCCACTGCCAGTCTGGGGTCCTGGCCACCGGCCCCACTCAACATGCTGCCAGCCCCGGGTTCTGGCTGCCAGCCCCTTGCCAGCCAGGGTCCCGGCCGCAGGCCCTGCTCAGCCTGCTGCCAGCCAAGGTGAACGGAACCCCAGGCTGGCAGCGGGCTGAGCAGGCCAGCGGCATAAGATCAGCATTTTAATTTAATTTTAAAGAAAGCTTCTTAAACATTTTGAAAACCTTGTTTACTTTACATACGACAATAGTTTAGTTATATAATATATAGACAGAGAGAGACCTTCTAAAAAACGTTAATGTATTACTGGCACGCAAAACCTTAAATTAAAGTGAATAAATGAAGACTCAGCACACCACTTCTGAAAGGCTGCCGACCCCTGATCTATAGTATGTTATTTTAATGTGGGTGTAGACCATGAATGTGGTTGCTCCTACAAAATCATTAAAAGGACTCCTCCAAAGTCTTCACCCCGTAGTTTCTTGCATTTCTTAAGCTTCTCAATTTCAGCTATGACTGGCTACCTCAAATATTTTAAAGTGTTTTACTGACCTCCATTTAGAGCACCTCCTCCCGCAAAAAAGACTAGTATGACCCCAGCATAGTTGGCAGGTGCAGCAACAGGGCACCTTGTTATTGTCATTGAGCTCTCTGCCTTGAGTACACATGATGCGCAGTTCACACAGCGTCCTACTCTGCTTATTATAAGCTACTATAGCAACCCCACCCCCACCTCCCAATTCTGAGATCTGGTCTCTACAAAGCAGGTTGGAAAAGCAACGCAGTCAAGCTCTTGATGCCAGTATTGCCAAGAAAGATGTGAACAGACTTCCTTCCCTCACCAAGGGGTCTTTCAAAGCCCAAGCTAAACATTAAGACTAACAGCCACCTATATGTATTTGAATTCTCATTTGCTTAACCCTATAAATACAAACAGACTTTCCCAGTTATTTCATTTCCCTTTTCCAGTTTACCATCACCTAATAAACTGTAGATTTCACATAAGCCTGACATAGAAACCATATAAACAAGGAGAAAACAAATTAGTCAGCAATTTTCCCCCACTAACCCTGACAGTCATGACCCCAGCTATAATTTAATGGAATTTAGCCACACTGCATATTTCACCTCCTTTTCTGGTGCAAGGACCCAAACCATCTCTTTGAACATTTTTCAGACAGCTTCCTGCTCCCTCCCTGCTCTCCCCACCCCTAAACACATCAGCGGTCATTGCACCCACCCAGATCCGTACATGGCCCTAGGTGCCCCCTGACGGTACTGGAGTCCACTCCCCCACCCACAACCCTACAGCAGATAGCGGGAGGGCGTGTTGCCAGTCACCACCCCACCAATACAAGAGCCTCAACCGCTAGCAGCGCAGGTTTCCAGGTAGGGACCGCTCCGGGGTGAGATTTCCCAGGAGTGCCCAGTAAGCCGGAGAGCATTTACACAGCAACCGGCTCCTAAAGAACAGCCTTACAGTAAGTCAAACCCAGAGGAGAGGGGGACTCTGCAAACTGTAGCCCCCAAATCCCCCTCTCCCCCGCCCAAAAAAGGTCCCCTTCTTCCCCTGCCCCCAGGGTCCCGACCCTTCCTTCAGGTCACCTCTTTCCCTTGCCTCAGTTTCCTTTCCTCTCTGTCACCGCCTCCCGTTTCCTCCCCTCTTTCCTCTCCCATCCCCCTGAACCCCGCTCCTTGCCCACCCCTTACCCCGCTCCCCAGGAGCTGGTCTCCTCTCCGGGCTGCGCTGGAGGGAGGAGCCCAGCCCCGAGGGCGTGCCGCAGGAGCCCGGCCGCTGTCGAGCGGAGGAGCCCTCGTCCTCCGTCCGCACCCACCTGGCAGCGCCAGACCGGCTTCGTCCCCTTCGCTCCGGCTCCTTTTGTTTGTCCCCGACTGCACCACTGGGGCTGCTCCGCCCCGGAACTGACCTCACCCAGCCGGCATAGGCGCCTCCAAAAGCGCTCCCTGAACGAGGTCTGGGCGGGGGAGGAAGGCTGAACGGGGCGGCGCCATCTTTATGCGGGGCCCTCGTCGGCGTGGTCGGGCTGTGCAGCCATCTTTGTGCAGGGCGCGTTGGTTAAGCAACGGGCGCCATGTTTGTAGAGGGCGCGTGTTATTCTTGGCTGCGGAGGGGCTTGGGTGTAGCCATTTTTGTGAGGGGCAGCGCCAACTTCGCGTCTGTCTGAGCGGCTTAAAGGGACAGTGACTCAATTTTTCGAGATAACGAGTCCAGGTAGCTCCCAGGGATGCCTCCACTTTCTCAAGACCCTTCGCCAAAGGTTCCGAGTGTCCTGGGACTGCACTCGCAATCAGTGCAACAGGGACTATTTTTAGGGCCATAAGGCCTGGGTTGTATGGGTCAGTGGAGTCCTATAAGGGGAGAGGCTCAGGGGTTCAGATATCATGGGTTCAAATCCTCCCAGGGCCAACTCAGCCCTTCATCCTTCCAAGGTGGATGAACCGGGTATCCGATGGCTCACCGTGTGCAAGTATTTCGGATAAGAGAATCAAGGTTGTGATCTACATGGATCCCAGGGCAGCTTTCAGTAGAGCCAGGGTTTGCAGCAACACTCTTGGCTGAAGTATTTCCTCTTCCGTATGCCAGCTGCTGCCCTTCTTCCAGAAGTGGCTGCACTTCACTGGTGCTGTACACAGGTAGGAACAAATTGATCCTTGGTGTTACCCTCTTGACTTCAGAGCCACTGCAGTGGCTTCTGCAATGTCACACCAGGGATGATTGTGGCCCTATAATTTGTAAAGTATTTTATGATTAAAAAGCGCTCTATCAGTATTAAATCTTACTATCTAGTCATAATCTGGTTTGTTACAATGATCTAATTTAATTCTAAGTGTAAGCAAATCAGGGTTAAAGCATGTATGTCTGATAAGTGGGGGATGGTGCCCAGTGACTGACAGTATATGCCAGTTTAACTCGTCATCTTTCAAAGAGGAAAAGTAGGAAGCAAAGACAGGAGGACCCAAGGACAATGTCAGAGTTTTGTTCAGACTTCTGTGACTTATGTGACATTAAGGAGGAGCTCACATACCATAGAAAACGCAGATGCAGTTGTATTATTATTTATTTGTTTGTTTTGTTTGATTTGTTATGTGCTCATAGCATGCTCAGTGCTGTATAAGACACAAGGAAACAGGCCCTACCCTGAAGAGTAACCTGTTTACCTGGCTGATTTTGTCTTGCTTCCTCTTCAAACTGGTAGATGCGAGGATGCTGCATAGTTCCTATTATGAGATATAATGGCTTCTTGGTAAATCTGTTCTTTATTGGTTTTGATTTAGGTTTAGGTTGTGCTCCCTTTAAAGTCAATGGAAGTTTTGCAATTTACATCAGCCTTAGTTCCTTCATGAGCTCTAGACGAAATCCGAAGTGCAGATCATCGGTGGAGGCAAACATTTATTTATTTTGAACTCTCATAAGGTAGTGTTTCTTATAGCACAAAAACGTTTTTGTTCTTTATCAGCCCATTTCTTAGCAAAATGTTAGATGTCTAAAACTAACTGTATCTCTTTTATTAGTGATCATGCTTTAGGCAGTAGCTTGGCTAACTTGGGAGAGTATCAGAGTAACAGCCGTGTTAGTCTGTATTCGCAAAAAGAAAAGGAGTACTTGTGGCACCTTAGAGACTAACCAATTTATTTGAGCATAAGCTTTCGTGAGCTACAGCTCACTTCATTGGATGCATACTGTGGAAACTGCAGAAGACATTATATACACAGAGACTATGAAACAATACCTCCTCCCACCCCACTCTCCTGCTGGTAATAGCCCATCAAAAGTGACCACTCTCTTTACAATGTGTATGATAATCAAGGTGGGCCATTTCCAGCACAAATCCAGGTTTTCTCCCCGCCCCCCTTCCAAAAACCACACACACAAACTCACTCTCCTGCTGGTAATAGCTTATCCAAAGTGACCACTCTCCCTACAATGTGCACGATAATCAAGGTGGGCCATTTCCAGCACAAATCCAGGTCTTCTCACCCCCCCCCCACCCACAACACACACAAACTCACTCTCCTGCTGGTAATAGCTCATCCAAACTGACCACTCTCCTTACAATGTGTATGATAATCAAGGTGGGCCATTTCCAGCATAAATCCAAGTTTAACCAGAACGTCTGGGGGGGGGGGGTAGGAAAAAACAAAGGGAAATAGGCTACCTTGTTTTTTCCTACCCCTCCCCCGAGGTTCTGGTTAAACTTGGATTTGTGCTGGAAATGGCCCACCTTGATTATCATACACATTGTAAGGAGAGTGGTCAGTTTGGATGAGCTATTACCAGCAGGAGAGTGAGTTTGTGGCGGGGGGGTGGGGTGAGGAGACCTGGATTTGTGCTGGAAATGGCCCACCTTGATTATCGTGCACATTGTGGGGAGAGTGGTCGCTTTGGATGGGCTGTTACCAACAGGAGAGTGAGTTTGTGTGTGTGTGGGGATGGGGGGGTGAGAAAACCTGGATTTGTGCTGGAAATGGCCCACCTTGATTTTCATACACGTTGTAAGGAAAAAGAAAAGGAGTACTTGTGGCACCTTAGAGACTAACCAATTTATTTGAGCATGAGCTTTCGTGAGCTACAGCTCACTTCATCGGATGCATACTGTGGAAACTGCAGAAGACATTATATATACATAGAGACCATGAAACAATACCTCCTCCCACCCCACTCTCCTGCTGGTAATAGCTTATCTAAAGTGATCATCAAGTTGGGCCATTTCCAGCACAAATCCAGGTTTTCTCACCCTCCGCCCCCCGCCCCGCCCCCCCACAAACTCACTCTCCTGCTGGTAATAGCCCATCCAAAGTGACCACTCTCCCTACAATGTGCATGATAATCAAGGCGGGCCATTTCCAGCACAAATCCAGGTTTTCTCACCCCCCCCCCCCAAACTCACTCTCCTGCTGGCAATAGCTCATCCAAACTGACCACTCTCCTTACAATGTGCATGATAATCAAGGTGGGCCATTTCCAGCATAAATCCAAGTTTAACCAGAACGTCGGGCGAGGGGGGGGGTAGAAAAAAACAAGGGGAAATAGGCTACCTTGGATAATGACTTAGCCACTCCCAGTCTCTATTTAAGCCTAAATTAATAGTATCCAATTTGCAAATGAATTCCAATTCAGCAGTTTCTTGCTGGAGTCTGGATTTGAAGTTTTTTTTGTTGTAAGATAGCGACCTTCATGTCTGTGATTGCGTGACCAGAGAGATTGAAGTGTTCTCCGACTGGTTTATGAATGTTATAATTCTTGACATCTGATTTGTGTCCATTTATTCTTTTACGTAGAGATTGTCCAGTTTGACCAATGTACATGGCAGAGGAGAGTAAGGAGAGTGGTCACTTTGGATAAGCTATTACCAGCAGGAGAGTGAGTTTGTGTGTGTGTGGTTTTTGAAAAGGGGGGGTGTATGAGAACCTGGATTTGTGCTGGAAATGGCCCACCTTGATTATCATACACATTGTAAAGAGAGTGGTCACTTTGGATGGGCTATTACCAGCAGGAGAGTGAGTTTGGGGGGGGAGGGGGAGGGAGGGTGAGAACCTGGATTTGTGCTGGAAATGGCCCAACTTGATTATCATACACATTGTAAGGAGAGTGATCGCTTTAGATAAGCTATTACCAGCAGGAGAGTGGGGTGGGAGGAGGTATTGTTTCATGGTCTCTGTGTATATAACGTCTTCTGCAGTTTCCAGAGTATGCCTCCAATGAAGTGAGCTGTAGCTCACGAAAGCTTATGCTCAAATACATTGGTTAGTCTCTAAGGTGCCACAAGTACTCCTTTTCTTTTTGCGAATACAGACTAACACGGCTGTTACTCTGAAACCTGTCATTTTAGAATATTGACCTGCATAATAATTTTTTAAAAAATTCATAAAGGAAAGATGGAAGGTATTCATTATAATCTTATTAGTGCAAAAGATGCAATTTGGAGTGGTTAAGGGTTTGAGAGTAGTAGATATTAACTGGTTTATGCCAGCTATTATTTCCATAATAAAATGTAAGAAACCTGTAGCTTTTTAGGAGCTTTACATTTGTCACTGTGCTGCGCTAGCAGTTAGCTTTATGGGTGCTAGGATGTGCATTTGAGTAGTTATTATTCTATACAGTAGAAGGCAGTGGTGCACAGACACACTAGTTAGTTCATTGGTATTTATATCTATATCTTGTTAAAATATGACATTATGAGGGGGAATTGTTTGTGTCCTCTTTGTTTCTTTATGATGAAGCCTGAAAATATTATGTTGTTTTTCTAATTTTGCTTATTTGTTGTTGTTTTTTAACCTGACAAACTCCTGGAATGCCAAATATTGTCTTCCTTCCTGTACATGTTCTTGGAGGGCCCACTTATAAACCAGAGTATTCTGAAGTAAAATTACTTTTATTCTGGCATAGAGTGCATGCACCCAGGGACTTATAATTATTCCAGGATAGCTATGCCAGGAAATTTCGCTGTGCAGACAGACAAGCATTTAGGCACTTAACAGCCTAAGGCTCCCAATAATTTTGGAAAATGAGACTTCGGCTTCTAAGCCACATTGGCACTTCTGAAATGTTTCCTCAGATCTTCTTGCCCCTGAAAGATTTCCCCTACTTAATTCTGCCTCTGCTTCTGCCCTTCTGCAGTCTTTCCCAACAGCGCTCCAGAGCTCAGCTCCGCCCAGGAAGTCACAAGAGGAGCTGAAGCAATCAGAAAGTGGGGAATGAGAATGAAGGAAGACTAGGAGAGTTGTGCTTATGTGCTGAGCTGTGCAGAGTAAGACAGGAGTAAGTGGATTTACCTTTCCTATTCTAAGAGCTGCTTTGTATCAGACTATCAGTCTGTATGTGTTGGCTGCTTCTCCGTGTTTCCTTCTTTGTCTTAGGGTAAAGTCGGAGTACAAACGTTTACCCTGCTGCTTCTCAGGGAATAGGAAATCATGGGGACTGAGTCCCTCATGCTGGGTTATTTTTAGAGCTGGAGTCACTATCTGTGCTATTTTTTACTTTTTGCTGATTCACTGATGCAAAGAAGGAGCACAAGAAACAGAAGGACAAAGGAGCAATAGGAAATAATAATGACCTCTTTCTGTGGGTGACCTTATCAGGCTCTGGGCTGCTATAACATAACCCTTTTGTGTGCAGCTTCCCAGCTCAGATTTGCACTGCTCCACTATGATAGAGGAGTCCCGTGCCTGCTTCATTCTCCTTTGGGAGCTGAGCTGACTCTCTGGTTGAAAAATATGCCTCAGTTAAAGGGGAATCCCTGGGTCTTCACCCACCTAAGTAGCCTTTCCCTCTCCTCCTCTTTCACTGTCTGAGCATGGAGTAGGTTACTCGAGAGCCTCAACATTGTGTGACAATATTGGGGCTGCAATAGTGTAGCCCAATCCTCTGAATCTTTCTCCACCCTGATTTCAGCATCCCAGACATGTACTAACTTGAAAAAATTGGATCCTCAACGATATCTTTAAGTCTTTGCACGCCATCTGTGACAGGAAGCGAGGGTGCAGAGATCTGTAGACACATCTTGGGCCAGATCCTCAGGTGGCATAAACTGCATAGCTCCATTTATTACCATGACACTAGACCAGCTTACATCAGCTGAAGCTGCAGCACCTTAATGATAATGTCTAATATATAGTTCATCTTATCCCAAAGTGTCTCTCTCTTTCTCACCCCCCCCCCCCCGGGAAATCCAAACATTCTCTGCCGAGGGATAAAGCAGCTATTTAACAGTCCCCAGCAATGCTATGCAACATTGTGGGCCTGAATGTCTTGTGCGAAGTGAGTGTACAATGCTGCTGTTCTTACTTGATAGCAATCTATACCCACCTTGCAATTGTGTCCATGATAACGTAAGGTGGGAAAGTAGTGGAGACTCTTGTCCTGTATTTAGGACAGAAAATGATTCTGTTTGTAATTTCAAGTTAATTCCTCAGCTTCAAATCCCTGGTTTAGTGTACTGTTTAAGAGCTATGTGAATTAATCTGCATTGTATCAGTATAATGGAATTTGTATTTTCTGAACAGAAGCAACCCATTTTATTTGGATTGGACTTAAATTAATTTGCCAAACCAGTGAGCCGGCCAAGGTTATATTAGTTCGTCAGTATTATACACTTAAGACAATGCTGTACAACAGAAGAGGAGATCTGACATAAGGGAACATCAGAAATGCAAATTAATTTGTTTGAGGTTTTGAGTTGAATCTAAATATTGAATCCACTGGAGCAGGAAGCAGATTTCCTATTAAATGGGATAGAAGTTGGAATTGAATAGCTAAGAGCTGTGGCACCTGGGGTGATAGGGGTTTCTCAGAAGTGGTGGGGCTACAGCCATGATTTTGTCCTTAACTAGTAGGAAGGAAGAGAAAAGGACTGGTTGAAGTAGAGGAAGAAGCATCAAGATTTGGTGAGAGCCTAGAATTGGTGGGAAAAAGGGAGAGGAGTAAGTGGCTGAACTTTACTATGTGATCCTGGCTTTGCATGTGTCGTAGAACCAGAGAGCAGTCTTGTGTTTGTCGTTAAAGTGTAAAATGAAGAAGTGTTAAGCAACTCCTTCCTGCCTGCTCGTGCTCGCGCTCTCTCTCTCACACACACTCACACTCTCTCTCCCTTCCCCCCCGCCCTACCTCCCACGGGACAGCTGGAGCACACACAAGAGACTTTATCTGAAAAGCTCTAGCGCTAAATGAGAGACCTGAGCAGGTTTCCATAGTTAGATGGAGTCCTTGCTTTGTATCTGCAATGATGGAAGTGATGATCTCATTCCTTTGTTTTCTGTCTTGGGGGAAATGCAGGTTTATCTCTCTAGGACTGGAGTCAGTGGCTGCAGTGGCATGCTCAGGAGATCTGGACTGTCTCTGGGTCAGTACTTTCTGAGAAGGAAGAACCGTGCTAGATTTAGCTGGTACCTCAACAAGGTATTGAATACCCAGCACTGCGTTTCTCTGGGGGTTTTTAGCCCAATGCCAAGCTGATGCCTTCAACAGATCTACAACCCCGTCAAGCCTGTAGCACAAAGCTCAGTCCCCCAGTGAACTGGCATCAACAGCAGTGGCAGATGTGGCGTCACAGAAATAACTGATGCAAACTCTTCTTTGCCCAACTCGTTTTATAGTTTTAAAACTATCCTTTTAAAGGGAACATCTAACACGGTGATACTCAGACAGAGGCTCACAAGCTGCAAGTGGCTCTTTAATGTGTCTCCTGTGGCTCTTTGCAGCACATGATATTAAAACACCGTGTGATTTAATTATTAACCAACCTAAGTTATTAACCAGTCAGGATGCTTTTACTATGTTATTAACCAATTATCAACTTGCTCTAAGTTATTAACTTATTGCTGTGAGAATTATATATATATATATATATATATATTTGCTACATAAATGAAACAATGAATTCACAGTACTGTGGCTCTTTTGGGTAATGTTGATCGCTAATTTGGTTCCTGAACTACTGAGGTCTGAGTATCACTAATCTAATGAGCACGAGGTCAGTACTTCTAATTTGGAATGAATCCTTGATGTCTCTGTGCATCTAACAAGAAGATTAGCCCCTTCTTGCAGAGATGATAATACTTAACACTTCTTTGCACCATTAAAGGATCTCTAAGCCCTTTACAAATATCAACACCCCTCTGAGGTAGGAAAGTGTTGTTATGCAGGAATACTGAGGCACAGAGCAGTGAAGTCACGTGCCCAAGATCTCACAGTGATCTGTGGCAGAGTTGGGAATAGAATCCAGATTTACGGACTCCCATTCCTATGCATTAATCATAAAACATTTTTCCCTCCCCTTTGCCTCAACTGTAGCTAAGGAAATAGGTTACTTAATTTGGGAATTGAGGGAGTTCTGAGTGCTGTTGAAAAGTGATATCCACCCCTCCCTCCAAATGAATTAACTTCAGAGGCCAACGGGTAAGCTGAGCAATCCTCTCTCCATGCTGCCTCCAAAAGTGGTGGCCAGTCATAGTGAAGTTCCAGACAAGCCCTTCAGCCTAGCGGTGGCTGTGCTGAAGTGAAGAGGTCTCTGTTCCGCAGGTTTGCGGGAATGGCTGGTCTAAACTGGGGCTGGGGAAAGAGGAAGCCAGTGTAGGGAAAAGTTGTGGGGAGGGCTTCTTATCTTCCTTCAAAAGCTCAGGGGGCTTGGAGGGGATTTCTGGGACTTGGAGTTTCTTTCTTCAACGTAACGTATTCCTACTGATTGCTGATCACTTTTCCTTGCTGATGAAGCAGTATGTTCTGAATCTTGGCCAAGCACCTGCACTGCCACCAAGAACCTTCTCTTGTAAATGAGTGAAACAGGACAGAACACAAGCGCTGTTAATGTTTAATCTTAAACTTACTCTTACTTGCCGGGTTATCTGTTAGTCCCTGCTCCCGTTATTCCCACTAGAAACAGCATCAGGCTTCATATCTCACCAACTCTCACGTTCATGAGCTGGTCCAGAAAGAGCTAAAAGCAACTTGACAGGAGAGGATCTAAGGCTTTCATTGGTCTTCCCCTAGGCCAGGGGTGGGCAAACTATGGTCTGGGGGCTGCATCCGGCCCTCCAGACATTTTAATCCGGCCCTCAAGCTCCTGCTGGGGAGCGGGGTCAGGTGCTTGCCCCACTTCACATGGCTCCCAGAAGCAGCGGCATGTCCCCCCTCCGGCTCCTACATGTAGGAGTAGCCAGGGGTCTCGGCACGCTGCCCCCGCCCCAAGCACCGCCCCCGCACCTCCCATTGCCTGGAGGTAAGCGCTGCCCGGAGTCTCCACTCCTGACCCCCTCCTGCACCCCAACCCCCTGCCCCAGCCCTGATCCCCCTCCCACCCTCCAAACCCCTCGGTCCCAGCTCGGAGCACCCTCCTGCACCCCCAACCCCTCATCCCCAGCCCCACCCCAGAGCCCACACCCCCAGCCAGAGCCTTCACCCCCTGCCCCACAACCCAACCCCCCGCCCCATCCTGGAGCCCCCTCCCGTACCCTGAACTTCTCATTTCTGGACCCACCCCAGAGACCACACCCCCAGCTGGAGTCCTCACTCCCTCCCGCACCCCAACCCCCAATTTCATGAACATTCATGGCCCGCCATACAATTTCCATACCCAGCTGTGGCCCTCGGGCCAAAAAGTTTGCCCACCCCTGTCCTAAGCCATTTAATCTTACAAAGGGATGCAGACAGCTGGTGAGTCTATAGTACCCTGGGCACTGTGCGTTAGCAGCTATAGAAGAGCTCAAAGTTCATCATAAGGCATTATTCATGATAGATCCTGAGCCCAGCGCTCCCACCAGAGGCAGAGTCATCATGATGACTATGCTGGCCAATAATTTACTTGTAAAATTCCTCATGCGGGCTGAAGCTGCATAAAGGTCTTGAGACTCTGGAGTGAGGTAATAGTGCATTGTGACACTTATCAAATAATAATGCACCCCCTGGGAAACTACAGAGAGAAGGTGGTGAGGGGAAATTTATTCTCTGGCTGGGAAGCTATCAAGCATTCAGAGGCAGAGAATCTGGGTGGGGGCACAAAATTTCCCTGGCTTCCCAGCCACAAATGAATCACTTAATAACATCTCTAAGATGTGGTCTTTTCTGTCTATCCAGGCAGCTAAAACTCTTGTCCAAGTTCCCTTCATCTTGCGTCTCAGTTACTGCAACACCCTCTGGGACTGGACTTGCTGACCTCTCGAGGTGCTTTCCAGCCCTATGTTTCTGTGATTCTCTTGCATTGCTCATATCCATTCAAAATGCTGCTACAAATACCATTTTCTTAGCTCTTCACTTTGACCATGTCACCCCTCTCTTTGCAGCCCTTCACTGGTTCCCCTTTCTCCATTGCATCAAACTTAAGGTAATTGTCTTTACTTTCAAGACCCTTCATGGACTACCCCCATCCTACCTTTCGTCTCTCATACGCTATTGAAAATTCAATTCCCGCCTTTAGTCAGCTAATGATCCCATCCACCCACTTGTTAAATTCTCAAGAATCACCTCTGTGCTACTCCTCATGTGTGGGAAGAGCTCCCCATAAACATCTACAAAGCCACCTCATCCTCCTTCGAAACCCTCCTTACAACTTTCCTTTGCCAAGGCCTACAAAAAAATTGACACTGGTTAGGCAGATGGTTTGCTGGGACCACTGCCCATCATGCTGACCAGTGTCATCTCATTGTTTCTTTGTGCTTCCCCATCTATCCAACTGCTGTCTCTTGTCTTAGATTGTAAGCTCTTTGGTGCAAGGACCATCTTTTTGTTCTGTGTCTGTACAGCGCCTAGTACAATTGGGGGCTGGTCCAGGATATGGATAATGAGGAATAAAAACAGAAGTTGTTCATGCAGAAAGGGGGAGCGTAGTGTTCCATAGGGAACTGGAGGTTCCTTCTAAAGGATCTTCCCTACAACCTGAGGGGAGGACAGTTGAAGGTAAGAAACTGCAGCCTGTAAATGATAGGCCAGATTTGTAGCTAGTGTATTTTGGCGTAGCTCCTTTCATTTCACCTGCTGATTTACACCAGCTGAGGAGCTGGCCCAATATATCTAGGCTCAGATTCCTTCTGCCATTAGGTTTAAAAGGACTCTGCCAGCTGCCTGGTCAGAATTTACATCCTTTTTTGTACATTCATGGTTTTCTAAACTCTTCTGAAACTTGAAAATAAAAGTTAATTCTCTGCCAATTTCAATCTTTCTGATCTTGCTTCCTTGTAAAGTCCCTGTACCTCAGATGGGAGGCACTACACTAGGGCAGACTATCATTGTTACAGTTTTATTCTCAGCTGCCCAGTCAATGATTATGAAAACCTGGATATGAACACACAATTTGTGGTTAACTGGGCAAAAATCTAATGTATTGGCTGCTCTGAGGGAGGTACTGGCCTCTTTGGATATGGATTCCGTCTTGGCTTTAGTGAAAGCTTTTAACACTTTTTCTTTTCCCCTCTGCAGACAAAAATGTCAAGGCCGGTTCAAGCTCGAAGATTGGAAGGAGTGGACAAGAACATCTGGTAAGTCTGCATGACTTGGGGCTGGGCAACTCTGAATGGAGCAGACCCTGAAAGTCTGATATAAGATATAACCAGCATAGACTCAGGCAAGGGAGGTAATGCTAACCCAATGGAGTATCTGGCAGAGATTATGTGCTTTGGTAATGGAGACTCAGTGGCTAAAGTATATTTCAATATTCAAGAAGCTTTTAGACAAGGTTCCATAGCAGAGATCTAAATGGCTATGGGTAAGCATCCTGGAAGGGGGGACAAATTAAGGGGCTAGATAGAAGACTAGCTTAAGAGCAGGAGAAACCAGTGCAGCCTTAGACATAGTGGTGACTCTAGGGAATAGTTTTGGGTGGTGTTCTGTAACTCTCCTTAGCTGCAGTGTGATCATTAAGGATGCGTTAGAAAAGGCCCCTAAGTTTTCTGTTACAGCAGCTGGGCTGTTGTGGCAGTAGGTGGGCTGCTGCTGCTTTGGAGTCTCCTAAGATGGGCCCTATGCAGTCTTAGGCACTGAAATTGCTGCCCTGTATATATCCTTCGCCTGGAAGAGCTATTCCGTTAATTTATCAGACAAAGGGCTCCTGGCAAGAAGAGTGGTGTGCCAGCGTGGGCAGGCTGGGACCCTCTATAAACCCTGTTATTCTCTCTGTAGGGTGGAAATTGTGAAACTGGCTGCCACTTACCCAAATGTGAACCTTGGCCAGGGCTTCCCTGACTTTTCCCCGCCAGACTTTGTGAAGGAGGCGTTTGTGAAGGCCGTCAGTGGGGAGAACATCATGCTGCACCAGTACACCCGGGCCTTTGTGCGTGAGAGATCCACCTCCTTCTTTTAGAGCAGATGTTGCTGCCTGATTGCCTTTGCCCCTTACAGCTCACCGTGGAGTTAAATAGGCCCAGGCTTGAAAAACTCCCTTGTGCAGAGCAAATAGACATTTTGGCTGGGCCGAGTGGAGCTGGGGACTGGCTTCTTCTCTGGAGGGGAGGGGAGCAGAGTGGCGCAGGAGCTGAAAGTTCTTTTTGAAAAGGGGAGGGGGCAGTGGGGAAGCAAAGTCACCTCAACCCCCACTTCCCACATCCTCCTCCACTCACCATCCAAAGAGTTTCATGCTGTCTGGCAGTTGTGCAAGAACTTTGCAGGTGGGGCTGTGGGGGGGAAGGGGGATTAGCAGCACTCTCTAAACTGCCCTGGAATCATCCGTTGACTATATTGCACCATTGACTGAACAGTCCATTTCCACCTTGTTTAAACAAGAGCATTGCCTTCCACCTGTACAATATCAGAACTTACTGGAGTTATTGTTGAGGGGAAGATCCAATGGTTAAGGTGCTGGTCTGGGACTTGGGAGACACAGGTTCAATTCCTTACTCCATCACAGACTCCCTGTGTGACCTTGGGCAAGTCATGTAGTCTCTCTGGGCCTCAGTTTCGCTTCTGCAACATGGGGATAATAGCGTAGCCCTGCCTAACAGGGGTGTTGTGAGGTGCTCAGATAGTACGTGATGAAGCAATATAACTACCTAAGACAGATAGACGGTAACCTCAAGTTTCATTTGGCAGCAGTGAAGTTGTTACCATGCAAATCACATGGGGCAAAAAATGCCTCCAACCCTGACCTGGTGTCAGCCCTTCCTCTAGGAAATGCCAATAGCCCAATGGAACCTCAGCATCTCCAAAAAGACCTCTGCATTCCACTGCTGCACAGAGGCTGTGGTGGGAGTCAGCAGCAAAAGGGATAATTGGCAAAGTTAATATCTGCACCCTCTTGAGAGGTTAGCACAGCGAGTTCAAGGTAGCTGAACTGGCTTATTCTTAATAACCTGGCCTACAAGGACCCCGAGCCACTTGGAAGGGAGGGAGCTCAACCAATGTTTCCTTTAAATGTTCTTAGTACTGACCGGGCTACAAACTCCAGTGAGCATTACATTTTTGTCCTTGGGCTAGGTTACACTTGCAGGGTGGGGGGTTGTGTCAGCTACCTTGCTAACAATGTCCTGCTTCTATTTGTTGCTAAGTCCTAATGATCCAGGCGGAACTGTGTGACTCTCTTCCCTGACTCCTTGCTACAGGGACACCCAGCGCTGGTGACGAACCTGGCCCGCTTCTTTGGAAAGCTGCTAGGGCAAGAACTTGACCCTATGACCAATGTGCTGGTGACGGTCGGGGCATACGAAGCCCTTTTCTGCTGTTTCCAGGCTCTGGTTGATGAAGGCGATGAGGTAATCAAGGACTCTCCATCTGTCGCACAGCTAAATCCCGACAGATGCACTTGTTCTGACCCTACCATATTGTGGAATCTGAAGGAAGCTGGAGGCTCATACTCATTTATGCAGGCCCCCTGCCACTGAGGAAGGACTGCTCACCTGGTTCTGTTTGTAAGGGGCAGCCTGGAATTCTAGTCCAAACCTTGCCTCTGGAGCAGGACACCCAAACCCACGTTTCTGTGGATCCTTGTCCCCTTCAGTCCTCAGCTGTTACACTCTCTCACTAGAGGACATATCTCCCAATGGGCACTCGCCAACACTCTCATTTCCATGAGTGGCAAGTCTGCCCCTACTCAGTTTGTTCTCCTTTCTGGTACCCAGCCTCTCTGGGGTCTGAGATCCGGAGCGTAAAGTAATGAATGACCTTAGAGCTGGGAGTGAAGTCTCCTGCCCCCTTGTTACCAGATTTGCCCGTTAATTTGGGGTATGCTCATTTATTAGGGTTACTCTTTGAGGGGGGGGGAGTGTTCTGTAAATCTATTAATGTACAGCTTGTGTCACTGTATTCGCATATGGAACTCTACTTCTTCCTGCTGTAAGTTCCCTCCGAATGGATCTATCCTACATGACCTAGGTTCCCCAAGGCTGGGTTCTTCCAGCCCCAGAATCAGACGAACACACACATTAAAAGAGCATGTCTGAGAGGAACGGGTTAATCAGCACTCCCAAGCTGACCCCTTATATGTCCCTGGACTCAGCAGGCTGGGTGGAGCAGCATTTCCAAACTGTCACCCTCAAAGGTCCTTGGATTCAGCAGGCCGAGTCAAACAGCACCTCCAAACTGTCACCCTCAATAGCCACGGGCACCGCACCGGACTAGAGCCCGCCTGAGCAGGCTGGGTCGAGCAGCACTTTCAAGCTGCCACCCTCATATGTCCCAGGTTCAGCACGTCCCTATTCCCACTTTCATGTTACAATTGTTCTGGTCGTAACCCACTTGATGAGCAAACCCTACAGGATTTTTGGGCGCTTCAGAGCTCTTTTAGCTTAGGTATAATGAGCGTTGCTGCAGAGCGAATGAGGAAGCCAAAAAACACCCACGATGGGGAGAGAGAGAGAAGCAACCAGCTTAACTATGAAAGTTATTTATTGCCAGGTAATAACCGTAGGGGAGCCAAACAAACAAAACAGTTATAATATTAAATATAACTTAAATTTGATTATAAAAGTCAGGTTTAGAAAACTATTACTGATCACACAAGTCAGGATCAGAAGGCTATACCGAGAGAGAGAGAGAGAGATGGTTTCTCACCATGCCGGGAAGCTTGAATGGATCGGGATTCCCAGGCGGTGGTGGTAGCTCAGAGTCCAAAGTGTTGGAGACAGGCAGAGCCCCCAGCACGATCAGTTAGGAGAAGACGAAGTCCCAATGGTTTCATGCAGATTTTGGATCCAGGCATCAGAACACTTACTTGAGCATGGGTAGGAGTTTTTGTAGGGAAACAACAATGGTTCAAGGGAGAACACTAGATTTGTTTGTGGGTAAACTGATGGCTCAAGGGAGTATACCAAAGTTGTTTTGTTCAGGCTAGACAAAAGGAACTGATCATTCCTGGCTATGGGTGGTGTTCCTTGGAGGAAGCTCAGAATGCAATTAGGGAGCTTCACTATTTTGGATATCAGTACAGGATTTATTACTAGAATTGGTCTGATAACTACTGAGCTGGGTGTGTGCAGGCATCGGTTCATTAACATCTGGAGCAGATATCCCCCATCGTGCAGTGCTTCCCTGCTTTTGTGGTCCCAGAGTTCCCTGCGGCTCTTTCCTTAGAGTCTCTGTTTTCCATTCTGTATGCTAATGGAGATGCCTCCTTGTCCCATCTTCAATGCAAATGAGGCTAGGGGAGTTTCCTTAATCCTGTCACCCTTATCCCAGGTGTTTAGGTGTGTCTCCCACTGTCTTTTCATTGCTTTTTGTAAGTCTTTCTTCTGATCGGTTTTGATTCAAGCAGAGGCTGGGTGGGAGGTGGGGGGGTCTTTTGTGAGTCAGACAGGCTGGGTACGGCTCCCTGGTTCCCCAAGAACACAGAGCTGATAGGTAACGCCCTCCAACCTCTCCCTGCATTCATCAGCATTGATCAAAGAAGGACTGTGAGTTCTCTGACACTCCCTCTGGTGCCTTCCCAGGTGATTATCATTGAGCCATTCTTTGACTGCTACGAGCCAATGGTGAAGATGGCTGGGGGCACTCCTGTGTTCGTACAACTGCGATCAGTAAGTGGGCATCAAAGCAAAGCCGCTATGAGATCTGCAGACTTTAAAAAGCCTGCTGCTCTCTTTCTCTCCAACACCTCTGAATGGAAATGGCATGCGAGGGTGAGAGGCAGCTTTACAGTATATCCTGAATGAAACTTGATGGTAGGAGTGGTAAGGTTGGCTTTGAACTGGCTTCTGCGTGATAAGAACCCAGGTCAGGTTCAGTAGGGCCTGCAGTTTCGTCAGGGCCAGTCCCACGATTTGTGGTGCCCCAAGTTGCTGGAAATGGGGAACCAGATAATTTATTCCTCTCCACAATGATCCCATTGTCAGGGTCCTGACACGGGGGACTTTCCTTCCTCTCTGGTCCTGCTGCCATGGATGTACTTACGTCAGCCTGTGGGTTGAAGACCTTGCAGTAAGTTGAGAAGGTCCCTAAAAGAGCAGGTCCCAAGAAGCCTCTTGCTTTGTGCATAAGGCTGATCCTGAACATTACCTGGAACTCAAGACTTCAGCAACTCCCTGACAGAAAGCCCTGAGCATTGGGAACAGTATGTGCATGCTGACCTCGCTGGAGAGAGGATGGTGGATTTGTTTCCAACCTCATGACTACCCAACCTCCATTATTCTAAAACAGAGAGAGAGGGAGAGAGGATGGACTGAAGATTAAGGCACAGGACTAGAAGTCAGGCAGGACTCCTGGATTCTATTCTTGTCTGTTACACTGACTTGCTGTGTTACTGTGGGCAAGCCATGCACCTCTCTGTGTCTTGGTTTCCCCATCTGTAAAATCATGGTAATTACATCCATCTACTTCACCAGGGGTTTTGTGAGGTGGCTTAATCCATTAATGTTCACGGAGTGCTTTGAGATGGTCAGTAGGAGGGGGCTGGAGATGGGCAATGTATTATTGTTAAGAGCTCAGAGAGATTCCTAGTCAGCGCAGGGGGCAAGGCTGCCCCAGGTCCCCAACCATTTGTTGCTTTTAATCATGATTCCCTCACTGTCCTCTCCAGAAAGCTGCAGAAGCCGGAAAACTGATGTCCAGCGGAGACTGGCAGCTGGATCCAGCAGAGCTGGCTTCCAGATTTACCAAACAAACCAAAGCCATCGTTTTGAACTCACCCAACAACCCCCTGGGGAAGGTAGTGCCTCTAGCAGCTGGGAGAGCTCCCCCTTCCCTCTGCAGGGACCCTGAAAACAGTTACATGAGGAAGCCTGTGCTGGGTGTCTCCTTAGAGTCAGCGCTTGGGTGGGGTCCCACAGTCAGCTGCTTCTTTCTGAAGAAGATTCTCAGAAAATCTGGCAGCTCCAGAAGCTGGGGGGTGTTTGTGAGATGATCAACTGATGATTCCACTTTGCAGCTCTTGTATCACCAGCCTTTGAATGTAGGAGCAGGAGGGAGGGAGGGATAGCTTTTAGCCTCCCTTGGTCAGATGACCTAGCATTAGCACATTACACTCACTGCGAGGAGAGATGGGCTGCAGCAGCCTCGTCTTTCACTTCCCGGCTGACAGGGAGCATCTCCAGAGGTGACACACAGCTGTCTGGGGGTGGGAGGGAGCACCTCAGCCTGTAGCCAGCAGGAATAGTCCTACTTGGGTAATTTCAGGAGGAGGAAGTACCCTGAGGAGAGCCTGGTCCCTGAGTTTGGGTGGAGGCTGCTGCTGTAACAAGGATGGTGAGAGTGGCCCTCCTGTTGGTGGCGGTCCCCCCCGTTCCTGCCAATTATCTGCCTGCTCCAGGGAGAGAACATCTGGCTGAGATGCTGGTGCTGGGGCCCACAAGCCCCACTAGGGCTGAGCCTGAGAACCCACTGTGGGGTTGTGGAGCTCAGAAACGCTGTGCCTGATTGTCCCGTCTCCTCTGCCTGTCTGGCATAGGTGTTCACCAGGGAGGAGATGGAGCTCATCGCAGACCTGTGCATGAAACACGATGTCCTGTGCATCAGTGATGAAGTGTACGAATGGATGGTCTATGATGGGAAGGAGCACATCCGGATTGGTAAGGAGCATGGCTTCTCTGTGTCTCTGCCTGTGCCTCCTCTCAGTGTGCAGCTCTTTCCTTTGGGAGCACACAGAAGCATTTATCAAAGCTGCTGTATTTGGAGGGGAGACAGTGACCAGTCACATTTATTTCAGTTGCTTTGTCCCACAACATATGAGGGTGAATTGAGTATTTAAGTGAGGTTCATAGAATATCAGGGTTGGAAGGGACCTCAGGAGGTCATCTAGTCCAACCCCCTGCTCAAAGCAGGACCAATCCCCAATTTTTGCCCCAGATCCCTAAATGGCCCCCGCAAGGATTGAGATCTTCCAGCTGTTTTTCTCTCTTGTTTCATTGACAGCCAGCTTGCCGGGCATGTGGGATCGCACGATAACCATTGGGAGTGCTGGCAAAACCTTCAGCACCACAGGATGGAAGGTGATGGATTCCCTGAAATCAAACCCATTTCTTCTATTCCTTGAAATTTCTATGATTGTTGGGGAATCTCTCTGTTTGTCTTTAAATTGGAGGGATCAGAGGTAACTGGAAGCTTTACAAACGGACCTGGTCTTGTGCAGAATATAGTGTGAAGTGGCAGTATGTAAATAAAGTGGAGCAGGTGTAAGATACCTGGGAATCTGAAACATCCCCCCCATCTCTGTGTTGTAACAGGTTGGCTGGACTTTGGGGCCCGATCGCCTTCTGAAACACCTCAGAACTGTCCACCAGAACTCTGTGTATCACTGTCCGACAGCGGCTCAGGTAAGGGGCCATGCATCTGGAGAGGCATTGCCTCAAATCAGATGTCTGATGCAAGCAACAGAGCCCCTCCAGGGAGAGATCTGGTAATTGTCTCCCCAGACCACAACTGTGCAGAGCCTAGAGTTAAGAGACCACTCACACATACTATCCAGGTAAGATGCAACTTCCCCAAGCAAGTGCAGAACCAGCAAGCTTGCTCAGTCCCTGGGGTGATATAATAGGTTAGGACATTGGAAGAACACCTTTCTCAAGCCTCCTGTCTATGGTTTGGAAGTGGCAAATGAACAGCTGGAGGCATAGCTGGTCATTGTCAGCCCAGGAAACAGACAGAAGATGATGCATTGTGACCCAGGGTATCTTCCTCTCAAATGACTTCACAACATGCCTGGAGGGCAGGGGACAGAGTCAAGTGACTCCAACTTGTCAAGCATGCTCTCTGCACAGTATTGGCTGTCTCCGGAGCTGGGGGAGGAGGTTTTCGGTTGAGAGGTGGGAAGCCAAGATTTTATTGATCTAGGCCTGGTGTTTTAACTCACCTGTTATCTACTATGCATCTGAACAAAAGCGAAAACCCCAGTTCATGGGCTGCTTCTAGAATTTGCAAGTAAGCCTACAGCGAACTCTGAGCATTTTGCTGCTTTCATCTGGGGAGAGGGGTCCCTCTGATGCTCTGAGTGCACACAGGGGATTCTTTCGCCTGGGTCTTTCTCCATCATCCAGCCCCCGCTCTCTCTAGGAAGCAGTGGCTCAGGCATTCCAAAGAGAGTTAGACAACTATGGGAAGCAAGACAGTTATTTTGTCCAGCTGGCTCAGGAGCTGCAGCAGAAGCGGGATTGGCTAGTCCGGAGCCTAGTTGCCGTGGGCATGAAACCCATTGTCCCTGAGGGCACCTACTTCCTGATGGCAGACATCTCAGAGTTCAGTAAGTTCATGTGACTGTTTTGTCTGCTTCTGACCTTCACATTAAAGGGATGGAGCTCACAGCTTGGAAGTGGGTATTGCGGAGTCTAGAATAAGATAAAGCCTGGTCCATTTTCTTCACTTTGAGTGGGGAAGGGAAAGGATAGACCATGGCAGGCGGTGGTGGGGAATTTGTTGCTTAATGAAGTGATGATCTAGTAGCACTGACTTAAATTGGGCACAGCGTGAGCATGTGCTATGCCATGTCTCCCACACATCTACAAACTCACCTGTTTGTGTGGCCTGTGACCACCTCTGTGCGAGGATCTTTCCTGGCCTTGGGATTCTCTTGAGCAGAGACTGACAACTCTGTTAAACTGGTGAGGATGAAATGGCCATATATGTTTTCACCTGTGACCTGAGCCAGAGTTCGAACCCAAGTCCCTCAAGCGGACACACTACTGTGCTTGCCCACAATGGCATCTGGTGCCATGTGGATACTTGGCTCAACTGGGAAATCCATCTGTGTCCCATTTGTTCCATCATTCCCCTTGCCCATTTGCTGTGTGTCTCTTGCAGAAAGTGAAGTACCTGACCTCCCAGACTCTGATGAACCCTACGACTCTCGGTTTATTAAGTGGATGATTATAAACAAGGTAAAGGCCTCTGTCTCGCTCCAGGGTGCTTGTTTTCTGGGAAGGTTTCCCCATTCTCTTTGCTCCAGTTTGATTTGAGGGAGCTGGATTTTGTGATGGTGGAGCATTGACTTGAAATCACTGGACCTATTACTTGAGGCTTGCTACCATTGCCCCACCAGTCGAGTACACGGCCTTTGTAATTCAAATCCTCTTCCTTCTAGTGTCCTGTCTCATACCAAAGGAGCGCATTAATGGCATCCCCTAGATTAGCCATCTGGTTATATCTCCACACTCCACCATCTCCACCATGTTCCTTCAGAAGTCAGGGTATGATGCCCCCTCTGTGATGCCCCCTTCTGCACCAAATGATCATCTTGTTACACCCTGCTGCCCGTGTCATTCCCTCATCTTGCCAATTGGCTCTGTGAGCATTCTGACGCGGAGGCTGAGCCACCAATATGTCCGCCAAGGACACAGGGTGCGGGCGGGGGGATAATGCCTGGTTTGCTGGGCGGCAAGATGGCTTCTATTGAGATGTTTGAGTCTGATCTTGAAAAGCATGCAGCTGGAAGCATGGCTCATGGCTGCTCAGTAACCTGGGGTGTTCAGGAGCAATGAACTTACTGGGTCTTTTTCTGATCAGAGAGTAGCACAAGGCAATGTGCAGAAGCTGAGAAAAAAGTAACCCTGGATGCACCCTCTTTTCCCCCCACCCCTTCACAGGGTTTAGTTGCCATTCCAGTCTCCGCTTTCTACAGCACTCCACACAAGAGGAATTTTGACCATCTCATCCGCTTCTGCTTTGTGAAGGTGAGGCATCTGGGGCAACAGGAAAGAAGGGGAGTAAGTTCAGGCAGTGATCAGGGCTATTGCTGTAAATGAGGCCTATGCCAGAAAGAATAAGTGGCTAAGACTTGGGGCTTAAAACACCAAACAATAACCAGGAACCACAGGTTCAAAGTCTGGCAGGACTGACTCAATTTTTCAGCCCTCAGAGGTAGATAAAAAAAATGAAGTCCATTGTGAGTGTCTTTCCTGTGAGATCCTAATCCAGGTTCTGTTCATTCATGGTCACTAAAGATCCCAGTGCACTTTGAATAAGAGTAGAGTTTCACCTCAGTGCATCTGGCCAAAAGTTCCTCTCATCCTCTATTACTGTTTAGAGATTGATGTGCACTGGTTGGCTGCTTAGTTGCTGCCCTCTGTCCCAGCAGTGGCTGCATTTTAGTGGTGCTGTATATACAGCATTTGTGATCCTTCAGGATGAAATGGGGGATATAAATCTTACATAACTGTATTTTTTATTATTCAGTGGGGAGAGGGAGGGTGTGGGCATGGAGCCTGGTATGGCTGACAACCTGGTGTTTGCTCAGGAGGAAGCTACGCTGAAGGCAGCAGAAGACATACTGCAACAATGGAGTCTGGAGAAAACCGGCCAGTGAATGCTTTGGACAGAATACCAGGCAGGCTCACCTGCACTCTGCCCTGATCTGGTGCTATGTCCTGCTCTCCTTGATGCAGCTATCGTGGCTACAGATTCTTTGCTTACTGTCTTTATTTTAATGCTTTATTGCATCATTGGATTTCGGTCACCTTCTCTATCATGCACATGGGCAAGAGGTTTGTCAGCCCTCAGGGCTTCTCATTGCTGTCCAGTAGCGAAAAGGTTTTACTGTTCCTTGGGACTTGTGAGCCTGTATATACACCGGCAAAACTTTATTTCCTCTTTTTACTTTCAAAAGCTTCACTGACTTATTCATCCTGGGTTCCCTGCAGCTAAAAAACAAGGCAAAAATAGTTGCTGGGCTCCCCCTCCTGCCCCATAACATTCTCCATCTGCTCTGGTCATCAATAATATTTTACCTTGAATGCAGAGGGGCTGCATTGACACTGCTGAATTACAGACAATGGCCCAATTCTGCTCTTACGCCATTGCAATTCTGCTGAAGCTATGGAGGTTGCTATATCTACACTACGCACCATTTAGCGACACAGCTGTGCCACTAAAAGGTGCACAGTGTAGCTGCTCTTTATCAGTTGAAGAGCTATCCCGCCGACAAATGACTTCCACCCGCAAGCAGCGGTAGCTTTGTTGGCAGAAGAGCTCTCCTCCCCCCAAAGCACTGTTTACACCAGCACTTTTCATCGGTAAAACTTTTGTTGTGCAAGGGTGGGGGTGGGGGTTTTCACACCACTGAATGACTAAAGTTTTACCAACAAAAGTCCAGTGTGGACAGAGCTTGAGAAGAGAATTTGCCTTGCTGACCAGGCCAAGGGAGGATGACCAACTAGCTTAAAACACCTGTCACTTTCCTGTATGTTTCAAAGGCGTGAGGATAAAGGAATTGTTAGATTAGTACAATAAAAAAGAACGGGATTTAAAATTGCATTTTCTTTTGCCATTACTGCGGCTTACTTTCTGCATTGCACCCCTGTGTATGCATGGCCCTGCCCTAGAGCCTGGAGCCAGAGTCTGTGGTCACACACCAGCCCCTGGACTTCGGTACCGCTAGGGCCATACAGGCCTGCTGAGTTAGGGGGGACATTATCTCGCTGACTTCCCCTCCTCCTCCCGTGACTTAACAGTACCTGGGCGTGCACTGTCTCCCATCCACGGGTGGAACTAAACGGACCCTGCTTAGCTTAGGGGACCGGACGGGCGAGGGCGGATAGAGTCGTGTCGGGGGCGGGGCTGGCACGTGCCACCTCCCCCGGCCGCACTGTTTATGACCCGCCTCCGCTGCCACGTGACTCATCCGCGTGGGCCGTTGGGAAGGGGCACGAGAGGCGGGGCCTGGGACGTTCCTTCGTCGAATAATAATCCGCGGAGGCCGGAGGGAAAATGGCGGGTGGCGCTAAACGGCCGCGAGGCCTGCAGGTGGGTCAAGGCGGCGGGGGGAGGGGTGTGCCTCAGCGCGGGCCCGCTCTCCTCCTTTCTGTGCGCCGCGGGGGCGCCACGTGCTGGGCTGTCTCCCCGGGCGGGGTCCGTATGGCGGGGGGGCTTCCTGCTCTGCCACCAGCCCCGGAGTGACGCGGGGGTGGGATGTGAATCGGGCCCAGGCCGGTCGTTCCCCGCTGAAGGCTGGCCAGGGGCTGTGCTGGGGTGAGGGTGCCTGGTGCTCTGGGCGCAGACACGTGTGGGTGTGTCTACACGGCGGTGTAAACCTCGGGCTCAGCCGCTCAGCTTTGAGCCCAGCTCCACCGCCCACCTTGCTACTGTTCACACACAAATCTGTCTGACTCCGGTCAGCAAGCTCCCAGGTCTTCGGCCCTGCCGGGGAGTTGAGCTCAGGTCCCAGCAAGTCCTGGTCCAAATCCTGTCATCTGGTAGTGTGGATGCAGCTCAAGCGACGGACCCGGGTCAGAAGGTCTGTATAGTGCAGTATGGAGGCCTTTGCATGGTTGTCAGACCTGGGTCCAGCAATTGTAAACCCAGATTTACAATGTAGTTAGGGTGCTCAAAGCGAGGGCTTGGAAACACCAGAAGTGCAGGTCCCACATGCCTGGGTTTACAGTGCAATGTAGACATGTCCTAGAAGGGCCAGAAATGAAAGTGTTGCCCTGTCTATACTGTGTTTTGTTTGTTGGGAAGGGAGGCAGGAAGGGGGGGGGTAAAGGTAGCTACTCTGTGCAAACCCTTGGATTGGATGCAATACACCATTGTAAAACGGGTATGTTTACATGCCCTGTTTTGCACTAGTACAGTATGCCTACCTTAAAAGTTTATACTGATGTTACTACATCATGAAAATAGGTGCAAATTTCACTAGTGTAGAGGAGCCCTTGAATGCTAGAGTGCACAACCTAACTGGAGTAAAGGCCTTAATGTGGCTTCTGTAAACAAGGCAGAGAGGGATCTCTGATTCTAGAGGCACCATTGCTTCCTTAACCTGTCTCTCCCAATGCCTTGCTTGTTGAGAGAGCTCTACATCTGGATGAATTTTTGTTGTACTGATAACTTTTGTGATCCTTGTTAGCCAGCTGATGGAATGTAAATAGTTCACTGCTTCTTTTTTAGGAGAAAGAGAAAAAGGTTGACTGGCGTAAATGGAAACAAGAAAGTAAGGAGACACTTTTTGTACATATTATGTGTATAATTTCCAGTGCTTTTAGAAAGAAACCTTCAAACATCCATCAAATAGCTTGACTAGCTGGAGGACAGGCTCTTAATGAAATCCAGAGCCCTTTTACTTGTGGGTCATTGATTCAAAGCCAAACTAGGCTGGCTCATGATAAAGAAGTTGCCATCCAAGGACTGGCATGGTAGCATGTGTGAAGTGACAAGCATGCCAAATTTCTACTGGATGTGTCTTCACATTACAAAAAACTAGCCCTGATTAGCATTTTTGTTGATTGTCTCAGGAAAGAAGACAAACACTCCTTTCTCTCTTACTATTGATAGTGTGGCACTCAGGTGTATAACCTCGATGTCATATTTGATTCCTATTTTCCTTCCCTGTCTCTCTCTGTCCACATGCTGTCACCAGGTCCTGTCTAGTTGCCCTAACTGTAGTAGGTTTTTGAATTTACTTGAATTCTGGTGATAAACCATTACAATATTGTGTCTCCTCTTATTTAAACCAGATGGTTATTCTCCATTTCAGAAAAAGAAGAGAAGAAAAAATGGAGGGAAATAAAGCTATTGAGAAAACTGGAAAAGAAAAGAATGCAGGAGGTGATAGAAAAACAAAAAGAAGAAGAAAGGGCAAAGGAAGACAAAGGTAATAGCCTTGAGTTGATGGGAAGGGCTGTGTGTGAGGGCTGGAAAATCTAATGTGTGAGGTGCAGATTTTAGCTGCTTGAGATGCATCTCAGCTGTATAGGCAGAAAAGGATATATTATTACTTAACTTTCACAAATTGGTATAATCACATACGAGTTCAAATACACAGGTAGGCAGTAATGCAGTACAGTGAGTGGTGTATGTGAGACCACTCAATAGACAACCTGCTGTCTTAAGACATCTCCTAAGTGTCTTCAAGTGTACAGAGTGCAATTCTGCTTCACCTCTAAGACGTGGCCACTAAAGAGACCAGCAAAAGTCTGTTGCTAAATATAGGTTTCGTTGTACTCAGTCGCAGTATCCCATAATCCCTCCTCATTTGTATCCTCCTTCCATTCTTGTGCCAAAAAGAGGAAGCAAATGTGTATTCAACAATACAATATGATGAAGCATTTAGTACTCATGTAGGAAGAATGTAGCAGTCCCTGTTACTTTTAAATTAGCTAGCCTGTTGCACAATCCTCTATAAAATTCCTGTGTGTCCATTGATCAATTCTCTAGAGTCTAGTCAATACTTCAGACTTGGTGCCCTCTCCTGCTCCTTTTAAGCCCAATGGCAAATGTCCGATTGACTTCTGTGGGAAGAGGAGTGGGGCCCTTATTCTGTAAAAGGCACTATATCGGAGTGCTTTGGAATCTTATTATTTGTAGTGTGGAAGCCTCAGTATGAACTGAGGCCCCTTGGTACCAGGTGCCATGAAAACACCGGGCAGTCCTTGCCCCAAAGAGCTTACAATTAAAATGAAAGAACCAAAAGCTAATACTGTCTCTTTAGCAACACAAATGGGAGTAGAACTGCCAACCTCTGGCTCTTGTTTTCTAGGACGTCATTACACAGTTAGCATAGCTCTGCCAGGTTCCATCCTGAACAATGCACAGTCTCCAGAGTTGCGGACATACCTTGCTGGGCAGATTGCCAGGGCCTGTGCCATCTTCTGTGTGGATGAGATTGTGGTGTTTGATGAGCAAGGAGAAGATTCGAGGTAAGGGTGACCCATTGTCTTCCCTGAGTAACCTGTCCCTCAGTGTTTCCAGTTTCTGTGTATCTTGTCTCAAATGAAGGCCAGCAGGAAACAGAGCTGTGGCTTCTCCCTGTCAAATGCTTTGTCTGATGAGATCTCCCTCATTAGTCTTTTCCGTTTGTGTGTGTGTGGGGGGGGGGGGCAGGCACTGGGGTGCAGCAGTGGCTATTCCCCAAACAACAAGATTAATGACTGAAATAAAATAGGTTGGATGGTTCTAGAGGGTTGTTAATAACCATTTTGCACTGAGCCCACAGAAGTAGCGACCCAAAACCATCACCTGGTGACTATTCGGTAGCCTGTGAGATGAACTGGTGGTGTGTCCAGTTGCTAGTGGACAGGTGTCCAGACTGCATTTGTTTAAACAATTGGCGTCTTTGTTTACAGTCTCAGCAAAAAAGCCAAAGGACTAGATGGAGCAGTTCCAGTCTGTGAGGAAAATGGCTCTGGAGACTGACACTTTGCCATCTTTGAGAAGCACTAAATCCATTCAGATTTAGGTTCTTTGTTACTACTTTACTTAACCATACAGACCAAGTGACAAGGCATAAGTAGCCCAGTGCCCAGTTTATAGTTCAAATCTGTGATAAAGGTAAAAATGCACAATGTTGGAGCAAATTTGGACCTTATATGTAAACCAAGAAATAGCTTGGTTCCATAGGACACTTAAGTCCCATAAGAACAAGTAGGTTTCATGTAAACGCTGAAGTGTGTGGATCTCACCAGCATGCAACGAACACACACTAGATGTACAGGAACCTGAAGAAGAGCTCTGCAAGCTTGAAAGCTTGTCTCTCACCAACAGAAATTGGTCTAATAAAAGATATTACCTCATTCTCCTTGTATCTCTAATATCCTGGGACTCTCACAGCTTCAGAAACCCTGCATATAGGTTTAAAGGAAGAAATCTTGTAGTGCTGAGAAAACGTGCTGTCTTGACAGCCCTGGAAACTAACAATCTCTGTTTATCCCCCGGACAGACTAGGTAGCAGAATGTCATGCTTTCCCACAGTCCCTTCTCCCTAACTGGGAGGGTCCATCTGTAATCCTGCTCCATGACCCATCCAGTCATTGGCCTAGATTAACAACAAGGATGCCAGTTCTGTGACCAACGACCATCCAGTCGGAACTGGTCTGATATCACTTACTACTTTCACAGACCATCTAGCATCTGATGGCTGCTTTATAATGTAAGTTCTTTTCTGACCTGGGTCAGACTTGAACTGGCACCCAGGGTAAGGGACTCTATATCCTGAATCACTTTTTCCTGTTTCTAGCTGTATACATTTTAATTAAATAGGACTGGAATGTGGCCTCATGTAAAGGTCTGCTTACTCTAGGGGCTGTGTAAATGTCTTGGAAGATCACAGACTGCATTCATTTTCTTTCAGGACTGTGGAAGGGCAGTTTGATGGAATTGGAAAGAAAGGACAGGCCTGCGTGCAGCTGGCTCGGATTCTACAATATTTGGAATGTCCTCAGTAAGACCAATATGATAGCTTTGCACACCATGCAGATTCAGTTTTAGTTTAATGCTGTAGCTTATTAACATGGCATTATGGAACACATCTGTCAAAGATTGCAGGAGCAGGTGTTGGGTAGTGGAGGGCCAACATCATATACACTCCTGTATTGTGCTATCTGGAGATAGATTCTGTTCTGATTCACTTATGTTCACATGTTTGAGTTCAGGTATACCTTTAGTATATGGAAGAATGAGATCTGTATAGGGGAAAAAGGGCTACCGTGCATTACCAGTGTTGGGATGCCATGACTTCTGCTTAGAATTCAGATCTAAACTCCAGGAAATAAAAGATCTTGGCAACTGAAAGAGCTGCAGGAATGTGTAGGGTGAAAATGATCAGTATTAATCCCCCATTTACATTCCGTAAGAGCTTTTGCCCTCCAGGGTATATGGTACCGATTTCCTGATTAAAGCTGGAAATCTGAAATTAAAATGAAGCCTGAAATCAGCTTGTTACAATTTTGAGACTTGAATCTCTCTGAACAGATACCTGAGAAAATCATTTTTCCCGAAACACCAGGATCTGCAGTTTGCCGGTAAGGATGTGATTATGTCCCCTTAACACCTAGTTCCCATCCTTAAGGCACAGGCCTTCTTCTCCCCCCCCCGGGTGAAGTAAATAGACATGGGGTTCCCACCACTCTACATACCTACTCACTTACCTGGGCAGCCCACTCGCCATTCCAGTTTGTGTGATCCTGGCCTTAGTGTTCTTATGGTCTGTAAGGAGTGGCAGTTGCTAAGGCTTTTCCTTGTCCAAGAGAGTACACTCATGTTCCTCCTCATAACTAGGATGCTTCTCTGCCTGTGCGTGCATGTGGACCATTTCATTGTTTTTCATCAGTGGGGAGGGAGTGATGAGCATGGGGGCGGGGACTGGAGAATCAGGATGAATCCCTTTATAATCTGCCTCCAGGTGCAGTCTGTCCTTCAATGTATCTTCCTCCCTCCCCCACTTTTCTCTATACTGTTTCAGGGCTCCTGAACCCATTGGACAGCCCTCATCATGTGCGGTTAGATGAGGACTCAGAATACCGGGAAGGAGTGGTGTTAGCCCGGCCCACCAAGCCAGGCAAAGGCTCCTTTGTTAACTGTGGGATGAGGAAGGTATGGCCTGTCTGCCCCTTAGATACCCAGAGTAAACTCCTTCCACTTATCAGTCACTCCTTTCAAGGTCAAGTACTATCAGACTAGAATGGCAATAAGCTACCAGTGAGTTTCTTGAAGGGCCATGTCCCACCATGGAATGGGACACAGTTTATAGCAGCACATGCTTCCTGATCCCCATTTTTATTTCATTCAGTCTCCCCTCTGATCAGGGTTTCTGTGTTACACAGCTGTTCCTCTGAAACCTGTGTTAATGTTGATAGCGCCCTCTGCTGGGTCCTGGTAGGAGTGTCAGTGCCTCTTAGAGTCCTGCAGTAGGGCAAAATCCTCCAATTAGCATTTGCTTGAATTAACAAACACTTACTCTGTTATCCAGCATATTGAACTGGAAATGGATCATCCATTGCAATTGTTCTAAGCCAACCGAGTGTCTTGGAGGGCTGTAGGTTTTAAAGAGTCCATTTTGCCACTATACAGGGTGTGGAGTCTCACTACACAGCTCTGCTCAGTGGTCTTGGCTGATAGTGGTCTTGGCTGATAGTGTAGTTTGCTTTCCCAAAAGTGGTTTGGTGTGTGGTTTTTTGTTTTTGCTTGTCGTCTGTAGCTTTCTTGTGGGTGGGTCTCCTTGCATCTAAAACCCTTTGTGCTGGTGCTCTATTATTTTAGGAGGTACAGATAGACAGACAGCTAGAGTCTGGTCTTCGAGTCACTGTTCAACTGGACAAGCAGCAGAATCCAGGTAATCCACTACCATCCTGCCTCTGGACAGGCTAGACGTGTAATACTACTAATGTGATCTGTAGTATAGCCTTAGTCCTGCAGAAGTTAGTCTTCGCACTGAACTCCCTCAGCCTTCGGGCATTGCCATGTGGCAGACACAATGTCTTTAAACATGTTCAGGAATCATCATACCCAGTTATAGCGAATAATTACTAGCCCCCATGCCCCTCAGTTTGAGAGTTAATTACTAATTTATTCTATCTTAATGTTGCACTGTTTAGAACTCAGCAGTGTTTTGAGCTTCATCAATGTATAGACAGTGCTGAATGGACGAAACTCTTACAGGCTTTTTTTATAAAGTTAAGGAGTGGAGCTTGTTTATGCCCTAGGGAAGAGTATTGGGAACATGGCACAGGGTGTTGCTGGTTGACTTCCAGCAGTGTCTGGAGAACTGCAGTTCTCCAATGCTAACCCACTGGCTTTGCTTTCAGACAGTAAAATACAGAAAGGCACTGTAGTGTCCTCGAACCATCCACGGACTGTGTCTGGCCTGTACTGGGGTTACAATATCCGCTTAGCCTCCTGCCTGAGTAAGTATTTACACAGCATTCTGTCACCTACCTGCTGGGGCCAGGGCAGCAGTAGCTGATCTACTTTTTCTGAGTTCTCCGTACACACTTACATTGACTTCTACACAGATTCTAGTTGTACTTGCTGCAAACATGCAGCACAAGCCAGATGCTTGTTTCTTTAACATCCTCTTCCATTTTCTTGGGGCCCATGTGCTGCCATTGATGATTTAATGGGTATTTTCCATCTCTAGTTTCCCCTATAAGGTAGTATGGTAATGGAGCCTGTACTCGCCTGCTCTGCCCCCTGGATTTAGAAACTTCATTCATTGATGCAGAAGATGGGGAATGATCCAATATCTGAACATTGATAGGATTTGACTGTTGGGAAGGGAAACTAATTGCCATCATAGTAATGCAGGCAAGAGAGAATGCTCTGCACTGACCCTGGCTAGTTACGCATTCCCACCCTTAAGCACCAATAGCTCAGGTGTCACAGCTTCCTAAGAGCCCTCGTAATTTTCTGCTTTCCCTCACTAATCAGTGGGACCTTCCCGGGCAGACCAGGTTCCAAAACTTACAAGATCCCTGTAGAGTCCCCTCAGAAGTAGGAGATTTGAATACTAGAGGTACCACCCTACTGTATGTAACTACTGAGTGATTCCTGGCAGACATGCCAGCCGGGGGCTGGTTCAGCAGTTGATGTAAGAGCCAGTATTTTTCAGGAAAGATATTAAGATTGAAAGAGAAATTATGGTGCCATTCTGCTGATGGAATTTGAGGCATCTTGGTGAGAAAGATGAGTGATTTGTACACTAACAGTGCAACTACTAGATACCACTAAAATGTAGGAGGCAGTAAAAGCAATTCTTAGTTATTAACCTTCGGGGGTATAAAATGCCTAAAACTACTGTATTTAGAATCCTCTAAAGAAGGGGATGCCACCAACTACTTTCCTTTTATGTTTGTTTCCCAGGTGCTGTTTTTGCCGAATGCCCTTTTAAAGAAGGCTATGATCTCTCTATTGGGACCTCTGAGCGAGGGACCTGTGTGGACCAGGCAATTCTCCCCTCCTTCAGGTAACTGGATTGATTCCTTGCTGTTCATCCCATCCCTTCGCTGGCAAACCAGCCCCACGAGCAAGATGCCTGCGGTAGAACAACCAGTGCATTTGAGATAACTGCAGTAGCCAGTGCTGCTGTGTGAGTATTCTCCCTGGCAAGGCTTTCCTCTGCAGCAGTAGGATTCATGTCCTCAGATGTAAGCATGTAACTCCCATTCACTCTGGTGGGATTTGCACCACCCTGCTCTGTTGTGTAGATCAAGCTACAGAACAGACGTATGTCTATATAACTGTCGCTCAGGGATGGATTTTCCACATCCCTGAGCAATGTAATTATACCCACCAAACTCCTGGTGTAGACAGTGCTATGTTGATGGAAGGGCTTCTCCTGTCAACATAACTACTGCCTCTTGGGGAGGTGGATTAACTATGCCAACAGGAAAAGCTCTCCCATTGGGGTAGGTAGTGTCTTTGTGAAGCACTACAGCAATGCAGCTGTGCTGGTGCAGGGCTGTATGTGTAGATAAGCCCTGATTTACCTGCTCTGATATTCTTTCCATACATGTGTTCCCCATACACCAGGCCAAAACTAAACTGTGAGCATTTCCATGGGTTGGATCTTCTGATCAAATTTGCCAAAGCAAGAGTTAAATTAGTTCACTGGATGCTGTCATTATGGAGTACAGTTCAGGATATTTTTGCAGCTGTTTGGATGACAGTTGGGGCAAGGGCAGCTTTAGTTCCAAGGCCATCTGTTCCCTTTTTTTCTCTGCTTTGGTTATGTAGCTGAACGGTGTTTTTGTTCAGTGTATTGGGAGAACTAGACACTATTTATGTTCTGAACTTATTCTACAGCACATTCAAAGAACCAGAATCATCACTTGTGCTGGCCTTCAACAAATTGCATACATCTCTTACAAGCTGTTACAAGCTCTTAACTAGCCTGCGCTGGGTGACCTTGGTCAAGTCGCTTCATCTCTGTGCCTCCATTTCCCCATCTGTAAAACGGGGATGATAACATCAGACCTTTTTTGTAAAGCACTTTGAGATCTACTGATGAAAAATGCTATGTAAGAGCTAAGTAGGGTTGTTAAAGATTACAGGGGCAACACTAGTTCCTTCTGACCCAGTACTGCTGTTAGAATCCAGGATTCTTCTGTCCTATAAACCAGTGTATGTCTGCTCTCTTCCAGCCATGTTCTAATAGTATTTGGAGGTCTCCAAGGCCTAGAGGCTAGTGTGGATGGTGACCCAAACCTGGAGACCACTGACCCAAGTGTCTTGTTTGACCTTTACCTAAACACATGTCCCAGCCAGGGCAGCCGCACCATCAGGACAGAGGTATGTCACATGAATAATAGCATGATGCATGACAGCTGGGTGACAGCACCTTCCTCCTAAGGATCAATCCCCTATTAGTGTTTCCCTTTAAGAAAGGGAAGCTATGTCTGTTAGCTGTGAACTAAGTGGTTTGGATAGTACCCTCCTAGCTCCAGTTATACAAGTGGTCTTTCTAAAATACATTTATTTTTAAAACAGATCTTTAGGTGCAGTGTTTGAATGGGGAGATATTAACTATTTTTTGTGGTAATGTGGCATCTAGGAGCCCCCTGTGCTAGGTGCTTTACAAACCGCAAACAAAAAATGATTCCAGGCCTAAAGAGCTTATAAACTGCCCTTTAGCAATGAAGCTCTTTGTAGAGGCTGAAGGTTCAGTAGTGAATCTGGCTTGGCTAATGTATTTTTGCAGCCATATCTGCTATAGTTACAAGCACATGAATCCCCCTACTACCCTTCTGCAAACAATCATTAAACTTGTTTGTGTTAAGTGATGGGTGCTGAAGTGTCACCCTTTGAACAGTGGATCTGATCCTACTTTCTCTTGTTGGTTCCAGGAAGCACTACTGCTATCTCTGTCTGCCCTGAGACCCCACATAGATGAGGCTGTGAGGAAAGCCCGTGGTAGCTGAAGGGGAAAAAACACTGATCTACAGAACTGAACCTACCTTCTCTCTTGCTTTCACCTGCACCAGCGCTCTTCCTTGTTCTCTGATGGCTCATTCCAAGTTATGTTAACCCTAAACCTAGGAAGAGCTGCTGGGGGTGATGGGTAAGTCACCAGGGCAGCCTGCCACACTCCAGCCTCTTTGAGAGTGACCACGAAGAGCACAGTACCCTTACCAAAATGGCTACAGCTTTTTCATTGACTCAAACCTGAGACTGAGATTAAGGACCGACTGTACACTGGCTGTGGCTTCTTTGGGAGCACAAACAGCATGGGAAGCCTGTCAGTGGATCATGCAGCACCAAGAGAGGTATTAGAAAAAATAAAACAGAACTGTCACATTTAATGCATTGGAGTTTTTAAAAGTGGGGGCAGTGGCAAAGGCATTGAATGCCTGCTGAAAGCTACTAGGAGCTGTTTTCTCAGCACTGCTAAAGAGCATGGTCTAAGTGGCTAATGAGCCTTTTGGGCCTTTCAAGAGTAATGGTGAGGTAGAGTGCTTCTGGATGCTGTGGGGCAGCTCTAAGTTAACTGATGCAAAATGGTGCTGTGTAACTTCTGTGGCTAGGAGGAGCCCCTTTTTCAAGTCACTCTGCCTGTCTGAAGAGCAGCTCTCTTGCTGCAAGGCTGAATAGTAACCTGACCATTTAAACTTACAGCAATTGGTACACTCACCTCCTTTGTTAGTGAGTATGTCCGTTTCTGGAGATCTAGCCAATGCAAGGAGTGCCTGGGACTTTCCTCCTAGTGGACATGAGTGTCACAACTAACCCTATGGCTGTACTCCTCCTGAACCTCATATTGATGCAAGTCTTTCACTAGTGCTAAAACTTAACTCTTTCTTGCAATCAACATTGGTGCTGTTGGGCCAAATACAGGAGGTATACAACCCATTACACTGTACTGTAAATGCTCCTTCCTTTCTCTTCTGTACAGGTAGTGTCTAGCTCCCTTATGTAAAAGATGTAAATACTATAGCTGCTTAGTCAAGCCTAATCTTTTTGGGAGGAGGCTGATGCTATTACAAAGTTAACTTGCTTACAGGAAGTGTAGTGTCCTTTTAAAGCTGCCATGCCACACTAGCCACCAAGTGATGACCTCACTCTTAAGACAGCATTGAGCTTTCCTGAGGACAGTTGGCTCCATACCTAAAATTTTGAGCCTTAAAAGCTGCTTACATTGAAGGACAGGCAGCATCTATTAAGTCTGCAAGTTAAAACAATGAGGAACAGAGAAATAATTGGAAGAGTCCAGTATATCATCATGGTACTGGCTGTTAGTAAGAAACCAATCCATAGTATGGATTTTCAGTGAAAATGGTACAAAATACATTGTTCCACAGGGATAACAGTAAAGAATTGGGGGCCTTAAGTTAATTCTGGGAACCAAGTGGTTTCCCTGGGCCTCATACTCTGAAAGCATAGCTCAGTAAGAGCATTTCCTTTGGTGTCCTCTTAACTGAGTAAATATAGCGATGGGGCTTTGTGGTCAGGGTCTAGAGATACACCCGTTAAGCCAAGTGGAGGGGATAGGGAAAGCACTTTAAAATACTGCACTGACTTTTTATTAAGTTCCAGCAGCCATTTTTAGGGCCAAGGGTACAGCATCTTTGGCATTTGCATCCTCAAGAAACAGGCCACCCTATTAATTATTGCAGGCCCATGAAAAGCTCCCAGACCATTTTAAAAAAAATAGCTGGGGGGGAAGAGAATAAATCTGAGCCCATACATACCCCTGATAAATAATTACTACAGTTAAGTCCCTTCTATTGGATGCCTTCACCTCAGAATGTTCTGTCTTCAATCCCCTGGGTGAGTTCAGCTATTGCGTCCAGGCATGATGGCTTGTAAACGATTTGTTCTTTTCAAGATGTTAGGAACAAACAACAGCCCCGATGCCCGCTCGATGCTCTCAATAGGAACCAGGAAACGTTCAAGTGGGATTGTCTCCTCCACGGGGCTGTTGGGCATCACATAGGAGCGCAGCTCAATCTCTCCATTGAGCTTCTCTAGGATGAGTACTTTGAAGAAGTGCGTGGGGACCGCCACATGGTTCTTGCCAATCACCTGGTACTTGATGTACATCTTCCCATCTGCCTCCATCCTACACAAAGAACAAGATTCTGTTACTGCTGCCTCTTACTTAGTACTCATGTGCACAAACCCCTCAGGGCACAGATTGCGTCTTCCATGGCTTTAGATGAATATATACATGACTAAGGCCAGAAGGAGCCCTTATGATCTTCTAGTCCAGTGGTCCCCAACCTTTCTGTGGGAATTGCACATTCCTATTTCCAAAAGACTGTGGCAGGTGCCAAACACCCCACCACTGAAATGCTGCCGAGAAACGGCAATTCTTCTTAACAGCATTTCGGCAGCGTGGTGTCCTGTGGGCGCACACAACTGCCCCAGTGGGCACCATTGTGCCTGCAGGCACCACATTGGGGACCCCTGCTGTAGTCTGACCTCTTGCATGACGCAGGACTAGAATTTCACCCAGTGTTTCCTGCATAAAGCCCATAATTTCTGGTTGAGCTAGATTATCTCTTTTAGAAAAAGACATCAGTTCTTGATTTAAAGTTGTTAAGTGCTGTAGCAGGGTCTAGACCCCCAGCTAACCTGGGAGACACTATACATAGTAAAACAGGAACGAACAAGTTCCACTCCCCATCATCCTTTTCACTATATCTAATTTGGTCCTTGTTTAACTGAGTCTGTTCAAGTGATTGCCCTTCCTGCCTCTAAACACGGTTCATTGCAGTCAAAGATTATACCTTCATTTGGAAAACGTGACTATACACTAGGACAGATTTAGTCCTTTATTGCAGCCTGTGGCACTACTAGTACCAGATCTGACAAGGCAGCCGGACTGTAAAGGTGACTATGAAATACAGCGCAAGATGACTAAGCTACTGTCACTCTCCCAAACTAAGTGCAAAAAGAAAGCGTTGATGGAACGTAAATCAGAGTTAAATTATTTACCTTTTAATCCTACCCAGGTAATCTGAGTTCCTCTATTCAATTATTTTTAAATCTGATCTGTCCCTTCAGGGGTTTATTCAATTGAAAGATGTATAAACTAATCCCAAGCATAACAAACTAGCCCACTAAATTCCTACATGCATACATGGAAAATGTGGGAGTATTTAAAACAGTATCTATTGCTATTTCTGAGAGCATGACAAGACAAGTCACATTCTTAGCCCATCTTAATTTCCCTGTATGATGCATGTTTTAAGATCAGTTTCAATCCAGCTCTGGTATTTACCTGGGTAGGAAGAGTGGGCCAGTGCAGACATATACATTCTTGTTGTACTTCGTTAAACTCCTGCAGTATTTCTCCAGGTTATTCCAGGCTTTCTGGTTCAAATGAGGATCCTAGAAACAAAACAAACACAATACAGCCAGGAAAAAGTCAAGTATGTAAGTCAGTCTGAGCTCTGGTCTCTCTTCCTGTGCACCTCACATCCTAAGCTTTTTCCAGCTTGAGTTAATAATGAAAATAATAGCTCTCTTATATAGCACTTATTAGATCTCACAGCACTTTATAAAGGTGTTCAGTATCATCACCCCCATTTTACAGATAGGGGAACTGAGGCAGAGATCCATGAAGTAACTTGTCACAGTCAGCCAGCAGGCCAGAGGCAGAGCCAGGAATAGGATCCAGAGTGGGGTGAGGAGCTGAGAATCTATCTTGAAGAGAAGGTGCAGGGATGACTTGATCACAGTCTATAATTACCTACAGGGGGAACAAATATTGGTAATGAGCTCTTCAATCTACCAGCCAAAAGGTATAACAAGATAGAAAAATTCAGACTGGCTTGCATCTATAGAGGAGGTCAGACTCGATTATCATAGTGGTCCCATCTGGCCTTGGACTCGCTTCCCAGTCCAGTGCTCTATCTATTAAGCCACACTGTTTATAGGGTAGTTTATTTATCTGATGGTTTTTAATCATTTTCAGAATGACTGTTTGTGAAGCATAAACCTGAGTTATCTCACAGAAATGCTTTGTATATCTGAAGTCACTTTGGATTAATCTTTGGCCAGAGACACAGTTTCAGGCTTCTGTGAACACTTATTTATGTGCTTAACTTTACATGTGGAAGTATCTTATTTATTTCAATGTGATTACTCCCATGAGTAAAGCTATGCACGCATGGGAGTGTTTGCAGGATCAGGGCCTTAGTTTGGTAGGAAATACTTGTGGCCCTTGAGTTAATTTAGGTGATCCTCTCTATTTACAGAGGCAGGTTTGTCCAGCAGTTCTCAACCCCTGTACTGGCCTAGGGCTCAGGAGAACCATTCCCCATTCTGACACAGACTTCCTGTGTAACTCAGTTCCACATCTGTAAAAAGGGAAGCGTATTATTCCCAGTCTCAGGAATGTTGGGATGACAATAACAAAGATTGCGAAGCACCCAGGGCTTCTCTACACCTAACTATACCAGTACAATGTCCCCTGTGGACACGCCTATTCGAGAATAAGTGTCCACAGGGGGAGTTATACCAATACAACTAGCCATATAACTGCTGTACCAGTATAGTTCTGCTGGTAAATTTTCCCACCTAGACATGCCATTAGTAACTCTGTTGATGGTGGCCATCTACATACCTACACAGAGAGAAATTTGGACTGTGAGATTGTTAGTTAATTCCAGTCCCTAAACAAGTGTCAGCCAATTCATTTGAAACATGAAACTGAGGTAACTTCCTTCACTGTAAACTATCTAACTAGAAAGATAGAAGGGTTTGACCAGTCAAAATGGGGAAGACAAGATTTCGATCAGTTACAAGAAACCCTTAGCCAAATCATTAAAGATGTAGCAGCAGGTAGGTACTATACTGCAGGACAATCCTATCTCCTATAATGCTTGTGGTTCTATTCTGTTCAACAGAATATTGATAGAGAATTGGTCAAAGGAAAAAGAGATCAAACTATGAGAGGAAAAACAGAGGTTAGTTTCTACAGCTTACGGGTAGAAATAGATCAAGTGGCTGAGGCCTTCAGAGGGACAAACAAGAGGTTGGATAGGAAAATTACAGAATGTAGAAGGGTTGAGGACAAGAACCATGAGTTGTCAGAAAGGCGTACTCTTAAGTGGAGGTTAAAAAGACCCCCTCAGAACTTAACAGATTGATAGAGCCAGAAGAGTTCCCAGAAGTCACCTACTACAGGACAGGCCTAACATAGAAAATAACAGAACGCCACTAGTCGTCACCTTCAGCCCCCAACTAAAACCCCTCCACCGCATTATTAAGGATCTACAACCTATCCTGAAGGATGACCCAACATTCTCACAAATCCTGGGAGACAGGCCAGTCCTTGCCTACAGACAGCCCCCCAACCTGAAGCAAATACTCACCAGCAACCACATACCACACAACAGAACCACTAACCCAGGAACCTATCCTTGCAACAAAGCCCGTTGCCAACTGTGCCCACATATCTATTCAGGGGACACCATCAAAGGGCCTAATAACATCAGCCACACTATCAGAGGCTCGTTCATCTGCACATCCACCAATGTGATATATGCCATCATGTGCCAGCAATGCCCCTCTGCCATGTACATTGGTCAAACTGGACAGTCTCTACGTAAAAGAAAAAATGGACACAAATCAGATGTCAAGAATTATAACATGCATCAACCAGTCGGAGAACACTTCAATCTCTCTGGTCACACGATTACAGACATGGAAGTTGCAATTCTTCAACAAAAAAACTTCAAATCCAGCCTCCAGTGAGAAACTGTTGAATTGGAATTCATTTGCAAATTGGATACAATTAATTTAGGCTTGAATAGAGACTGGGAGTGGCTAAGTCATTATATAAGGTAACCTATTTCCCCTTGTTTTTTCCTAACCCCCCCGACGTTCTTGTTAAACCCTGGATTTGTGCTGGAAATGGCCCACCTTGATTATCATACACATTGTAAGGAGAGTGGTCACTTTAGATAAGCTATTGCCAACAGGAGAGTGGGGTGGGGGGAGGTATTTTTTCATGCTTTGTGTGTATAAAAGATCTTCTATGCTTTCCACAGTATGCATCCGATGAAGTGAGCTGTAGCTCACGAAAGCTTGTGCTCAAATAAATTGGTTAGTCTCTAAGGTGCCACAAGTACTCCTTTTCTTCATGTTGAGAGAGTGTGTTAGTGGGTAACCACCTGTAAGCCCATTCAGCAGGGACCATGGGTTCCCACAAATTCCATTGGGCTTCGCTACTTCACCACCTTAGTTTCTGCTTGCTCCTGCAACAGTATACCCCATCCTGCTGGGGGGAGGAGGGATGGGATTTAGGCTTCCCCCTTCCCACCCTTGTCTAGGAAGGAGAACCCCTCTCTCCCTGTATAGACTTCCTCCCTCCCATATGGCAGACACTCTCTCCTGGAAGGTAGGTCAAGAAGCAGTGTAGACTTAGATTAGATATTAGGACAAACTTTCTAACTCTAAGGGTAAGTAAAAGCTCTGGAATAGGCTTCCAAGGGAGGTTGTGGAATCCCCTCACTGGAGGTTTTTAAGGAAGGTTGGTGGTCTAGGTTTACTTGGTCCTGCCTCATCATAGGGCAGGGGTGGGCAAACTTTTTGGCCCAAGGGCCTCATTGGGGTTGCAAAACTGTATGGAGGGCCTGGTAGAGAAGGCTGTGCCTCCCCAAACAGCCTGGCCCCCACCCCCTCTCACTTCCCGGTTCTTGACTGCCCCCCTAAGAACTCCCCCACCCATCTAACCCTCCTGTTCCCTGTCCCCTGACAGGCCCCCAGGACTTCCATGCCTTTCCAACCCCCCCGTTCCCTGTCTGCCCCACCCAGAACCTCCACCCCATCTGCTCCCTGTCCCCTAACTGCCCCGACCCCTATCCACAACCCCACTCCCTGACAGCCCCCCCGGGACTCTCATGCCTAACCAACCCCCCCTGCCCCAACTGCCTCCTGGGACCCGCCAGCCCCGGCTCCCTTACCATGCCACTCAAGCGGCATGTCTGGCAGCCTCGCTGCCCAGAGCACTGCCTGCACAGCAGCATAAGTGCAGGGGAGAGGGGACACCAGGGGCTAGCCTCCCCTGCTGGGAGCTCAAGGGCCGGGCAGGATGGTCCAGTGGGCCGGATGTGGCCCGCAAGCCATAGTTTGCCCATCTTTGTCATAGCGGGCATGGGGGAATTAGGGGAACCTCTCCAGGTCCCTTCCAGCCCTACATTTCTATGCCTCCTGTCCAGAAAGATTGGTGTATCCCACTTCCCTTTTTATGCATTCTTTTGAAATGGCAATTTGGGGGCTTTTTTCCTCACACAACTGGCTAAAATTAGAGCTCTGAGGTTGGCAGCACTGCTTTCTATTGACTTCAGTGGGTTTGGGGTCAAACCCGTAAGTCACTGTTCACCTTAGTAGTTACAGGTCAGTCCTATACAGCACTGTGTGTGAAAATGTGGGATGTTTACTCACATGGTGTTTTGGAAGTTAGCAAAAAGAAAAAAAAGCCATTTTAAAAGTGAAGTGGACTCCTGTGTTCTATTCCAGCCTCTTCAGTTATGGTGTCCCTCTTTACCTTTTAGGGAGAGGGATTTCTGCTCACATGGCATGGGGAGAAGTCACCCTTTCCCTGGAGAGGAGCAGAGCAACTCAGCCTGGTGGTGTCCCTCTCCCATCTAAGGAGAGGAACCTGACTGTGTTGCCAACTCTAACGTTTCCCCGTTTTCCTTAAAGCCCCAGCTCCTGGAGTCATATGATTGCATAAGAATCTCAGCTTCCCTTAAAAAAAAGTTTCTAGCTATCATAGTTGCAGAAAAAAGGCTTGAAAAGCGACCCCCTAAAGCCCCAAAACACGAAGGCAAATAAAACAGAGAGTCCAGCGAAGGGCAATAAAAATGATTAGGGGTCTGGAACACATGAGTTATGAGGAGAGGCTGAGGGAGCTGGGATTGTTTAGCCTGCAGAAGAGAAGAATGAGGGGGGATTTGATAGCTGCTTTCAACTACCTGAAAGGGGGTTCCAAAGAGGATGGCTCTAGACTGTTCTCAATGGTAGCAGATGACAGAACGAGGAGTAATGGTCTCAAGTTGCAGTGGGGGAGGTTTAGATTGGATATTAGGAAAAACTTTTTCACTAGGAGGGTGGTGAAACACTGGAATGCATTACCTAGGGAGGTGGTGGAATCTCCTTCCTTAGAGGTTTTTAAGGTCAGGCTTGACAAAGCCCTGGCTGGGATGATTTAACTGGGAATTGGTCCTGCTTCGAGCAGGGGGTTGGACTAGATGACCTTCTGGGGTCCCTTCCAACCCTTATATTCTATGATTCTATGAAAAACGTTGAGGACTCGAACCCCAGAGGGCACGGTTCGTTGTCTAAGGGAAGAGAGACAGGCAACACCAGCAAGGTCCGAACACAAAGCTCTTGACTGAAGAGTGCACACAACAATAGAGAGCAGCCCGTCTCCAAAGAGAACCAGCAGCCTCTAAGTAAAACTAATAGGTTTTTATAGACAGTTCCCTCCCATTACAGATTTATTTATAAAGCAGCCCACAAAGCGTCCCCTATGTTAGTTAAAATCCTCTTACGGCAGACACACTGTTGTTACGGCATATGCCGAGCACAAATGGTTAAATTTTGACAAGTCTCTGAAGGACTGGTACTTGCTTAGCCAGTGCTTCCTTTTCTGCCTGGAAGTCCTGTCTTAAGCCTTGCAACTGGTCCTGGGCATAGGTCAGAAAGCCGAGGGTAAGCCGGAGGAGGGGCAGAAACAGGCATAGCACAGAGCGGGGGCTGGAGACCCCTGAGAGGAAGAAGAAAAGGAGGAGCAAAGAGCACGTCCTTGACTCTTCAGTCAAGAGCTTTGTGTTCGGACCTTGCTGGCGTTGCCGGTCTCTCTCCGGCCAGACAAGGAACCCTGCCCTCGGGGGTTCGAGTCCTGGACAAAAACAACCCAGCACTGAGTGTTTTTAGAAGACCTCGGGATTCCTTCCTGAGGCACTCCCGGCTTTAGGGGGTCGTGAACTCCCAGGAGGGCCACACCCGGCTCCCCGACACTGGGGGAGGGGAAGCGCTACCTAGCCGGCGCCAGCCCCCCGGGGGGCTCCCTCACGGGCTATGGGACCCGCGGGCTCCCTGTCAGGCTCCGGGGCGGGGGCGCCTCACCTGGGGCGCCACGTTGCTGAGGTAGAAGGTGTCCTGCATGGCCTTCTGGCTCCCCCTGTGGTTGGCGGCGGCCGCCAGGTGGCCGCGGTCGAAGCCGCTGCCGCGGTAGTCGGCGTTGGTGGCCCGGTGATACTCGTGCACCGACTCGTCCGCCTGGAAGTCGCAGGCGGCGCGGTCGCCGGGGCCGCCCGGCGCCTCCCCGCGCAGCTGCTCCAGCACCCACAGGGCGCTGCGGCTCCGCGGGTCGTAGCACAGCACGTAGGACTCGCGGCTCCGCAGCGGCGGCAGCCCCGGCAGCCCGTACTTGGCCAGCTCGCCGCGGGCCGCGCCCCCGGGCGCCGGCGGGGAGAGGTCGGCGGCCGCCGCCACCACCGGCACCACGGGCAGCCGGGGCAGCAAACCCGCCGCCGGCGGGCCGCCGCCCAGCCGCCTCCCGCCCGCCAGCCCCAGCCCCGCGGCCAAGGCGGCCCCGGCCACCAGCCACCTGCTGCCCCGGAGACGCTGCATGGCTGGGCCCCGCCGCCGGGGAGAGAGCTGCAGGGCGGCGACCTTCCCTCGTCCCGAGGGAGAAGCGGGGCCTTAAAGGGGCCGCCGCCAGAGGCCGGAGGCGTCGGCTTGAGGGGAGCAGCTGCTCACACAGCCGGCTACAGGCAACTGCGACACGCGGCACCCAGCAGGGCCCCCGCGCGGCTGGGCCCCGTGCAAGGCCCCGGCCCCCCCCCAAGGCTTCGGTGGGGCCAGCGGAAGCATCGCCCCCTTAAGAGTTGACGCGCTGAGCACTGGGGCGGGAAGCTCCCCCGGGCACGCGCTGGGCCAATATAGGAACAAGCCACGCCCCCGGCGGGAGTCCCCGCCGCTCACTCCGAGCGGGAATCCATGACTAAGTCGAAGCCTTAGGCAGAAGTCATTTCACAGCTGTGCCTCCCTTTACCCATTTGTAGTGGCTTGGAAAGGAAAAAAAAATCAGTATTGAGTACAGTGTTCAGAAGACCCAAGTCTGTACCTAGAGGCAGTGGGAGGCAGCTATATAACTAGCACTAACAACCACGCCTGTTAAAATGGAGATATAAAATACATGGTGGATTCCTTTGATGAGCCTGCTCTGCTATGCCCATTTGGAATACACTTGGGTATGTTTCTCAAGTTTTTCTCTGCAAGTACAGAAAACTTCGTTTCTTACAAGGAACCTAAGATGCATTACCTGTAGCTAGAGCTGGATGAGATCTGTTAGAGTCCATCTCCTCTCCTTCTCAGATCCTAAAGCATAAAGAGACTACAACAGTTTCTTTTCCTACTTCAGTTTCTTCTGCCCACTTTCACACCATGAATAGCTTGACACCCCCCAAACATTAGACAACTCTTTGTACCAACACTGTCAAAGGAGACTGTGGGAAAGAAAAAGATCATATCAGTATTTGCAAAGAAAAATATTTATTATGACAAATCAACAGAACAGCATTCATGAAAAAAAGAATTACAGACATTACAGATGGATAATTGTAGTTCATGGGAAAAGTTATAGAAATAAAAAAGTAAAGGTAATAAACACCAGGACCAGTTTTGTGTTGTAAAGGATCCACCTCCTAGCCTTCTACATGGCATTGTATATCAGGGATCTTTTGTTCCCTTCTTCAGTTAGAGGTACCAGCATGTTCCTTCCACTGGATTTGTGGCAACTGTCCTGGAGGGGTGGGGAACAGAAAAACTGCTTTCGCTTCTACCTGTTCAGGCTTGTACAGTGATGCTTAGATATGTAGTGCAAAGTAAGTGACCCTCAAGGACATCTTCCTTTTAGGAACATTTGTGCAGCCTCTGAAATATTGCCAAGCAACAGCTTTGTCTGCAAAAATGCTTGTTCCCTGCTAAGCATATTACCTGTAGATAATCAGAGGACACACTCTGGGCCTTGTGAATTCAAGTCTGGACCACCTCCTTTAACACACCACCACCACTCCCTATCCCACTAGATACCATCGTACTGCAGAAATAGATAGACAAAGGCTCAGAGTAACCTGCCAAATAGGATAATCTTGCTAAGAAAAAGAATAAGGCAGTGGTGGTGGGTAGATTTAGCTTATACATGCAGAACCCTGTGCTAGTGATAGACTCCCAGAATGGAGTGGACTGAGATTAGTTCTACTGACATCCAACTAGCACATGTTGTTTCATCCCTCAGTTACTATGGAAGAGGGCATTTAGAAATACTGTAATAAATCACATGTAGCAGCTTTAACTCTGAGCACAATCTGTGGCTAGGGGAAGTCTCATATTGTTATGGATAGCAGATAAGGTCAACACAAACCCCCCTGTTTAGCTGAAGGGAACTTCATCAAAATCAGTAGTGTTTAACAAAAAAACTTTAAACACGTGGAAAAAGCATGAGATACAGATGTGTTCTCCATACCTTTTTAGAAGTGTGTGTTTTTTTAAAGACAGCCAAAGAGAAAAAACTGAACTTGTATAAATCACCAGATTTGCCCTTTTGCAAAAGGGCATTTTAGAAAAAAAAAGTTCTAAATGGCTAACATACAAAAAGTCACCAAATGCTCAGTTAAAAGGAACAACAGCCCTTGTACTCCTGAACACCACTGTGCTACCTATAGCAGCTTCTGACTTCCACTCCACCTGTTGCTGAGCTGTAAATAATTCAAGCTTGGACCTCAAAACTCCAGCCACAAATTAATCTAGCCAACACTTGCTCTGAAAAAAAACAAACAAAAAAAATAGTTCCACATTTCCCTGACAAACATGACCAACCTCAGGATTATATTCTTCACTATCCTTTTTCCTCCCAGTTGCCAAGGCTACAAGATTCCAGAGGGGTGGGGGTAGACAAGGGGGGGAAGGCACAGGGTGCTGGCCTTCTCCCTTATGACCAATCCCCATCTCTTGATCCACCCAGCTTAGTTTCCTGCCTTTCCTCCTGATGGAGGAAAGCTTCCACCAAAGTGACAATGATCCTGCTCTTGATGAGTTATTTGTATACAGTGAGCAGCTAATGAATTCAATGATTAAGGTATTTAAATCTCTTCCTGTGCATTTGGCTCCCCCCCACACCACAGCACTGCAAGAAAGAGCAACTATGCATTAAAATTTTCAGAGCTGCTCCTGTCACAGAGAAGGCTCTGGAGACATGAATCCCACAGGTCTGTGGCAGCCACTATATGCACAAAGATAGCAGAAAATGGGCTAGTTAATACTGTCCAGCTTTAAAATGATTTGAGGAATGAGGGTTAGGGTAACTAATCAGAAGGGTTGACAGTAGGTTCCCAGTTACTGTTAATTATTTTCCTCCCAACTAACAGTGTTTGTTTGCTCCATAAAGTGAACAATAAGCCCCACACTACAATAAGAGTCAGCCATATTTAAAACCTAAAAGTACCATTGGAAAAAATTAATGAGTCCTTTCAACAGCCTCCCTCCCTTTGAATATCAACACAGCAAACCCTCCACCGCCCAAAGGTTTAAAGAATAATAAGGGATCTAGGTTACTAATGAAGAGAGGCCTTTTCAAGTAGGAAACAGACTCACAAATTGTATCAGAGTGTGTTGTTACAAGTTATCTAGTCTTGCCTTTGGGAACTACAATGGGAGCTCCCCGCATTCTCCTCCCCACACCTTCTATGCTGCCACACCTTTTGTTTCATTGTCAACTAGAGAACCTCTCCTTTTACAGACGTTCAGCTCCAAATCACTAAGCCATCATAAATAAAACCCTCTAGCCCTATGATGTTCAAACAGGAGGAGACCCGAAAAATGGAGTTTAATCAAAACGAGCAGCAAAACTAAGGCGTCAGGGCTAACAGCCACAAGCTTCTTCTGAGGCAGACATCTAAGGTGCATTTCTGCCATTTGTTTTCTGCTGGGGTGCCATTTGTAACCCTTTACTGAAAGGTGAGGATCTCCATTCTCATCCTCAATTACAGCCACAACCCCAATCCAGAGATTTCCATTTAGAACCACTAGTCACTCCTTAAAATGAATGGACAGGATTTGTGTGGTGACTCTACAACCCCATCCTAAGCAGTGCATCTCAGCCAGCTGGGAGGATGAAGACAGCAGCAAGACCCAAAATCAAGTATCTCATACAGCAATGCAGAAGGCTACACAACTGAATCAGTTCCAGGCCTCTTCAGTCACATCTGTGGTACTGTTCCTTAAACATCTGATCCAGCTCCCAACAGAATCAACAGAAAGACTTGATTAATTTCAGCAGAAGTTGGCTTTGGCCCTAAACCAGGCTACCATTTGATTTTTTTTTTTTAAGTTCCCTTCTTTAAAAAGGAGGTGATCAGGTTTAAAAGACATTTCCTTGACAACCATCTGAAATTTTTAACAGATCAACTCATGCCACTCACTTGCTGTCTTCACTTTCTCCACAATGAATAAGCAGAGAGGATAGTCAAAGTCACTTTCAAGTTCTCATACACCAACAAAGTGCTGCAACATTTGAGTTGCAGACACAACAGGGGAAATATTTAAATCCAAATAGGAAACTTAATACATTCTTATTCCCCCTACAGTTGTAAAGGGTTTCTATTTAATACAAGAGTTGTGCACTGAAAAACAATCCACCCACAAGCTGAACTTTTAGACCTAATTCATGACAATACTGCAAATGAATATTGTAAAGAAACCTAAGTGGAATTTCAGAGTGTATTAAAAATTTTACTCTTCAAACTATCACCATTTTTCACCCACTATTAAAAGAAACAAGTTACACTCATTGGCATGTCAATATGGTGACAGTCATGGAGTGTATGTGTGTGTATTGGTGAAGAATGGGGAGGATTCCTTTTAAGGCAAGTGTGACCCACACAGCCCAGGTACCATGAAACATTTCAAAAGACCATGTGTAAGTTTCAGATAAATAAATTGGGGGGTGGGAGAGGGACTTTTAATGGAGGATATCTTGGGCAGTTCTGAAGCCAGAGCATATTGGACAAGTTTTCCCACTTTTGTGGTTCAATCCTACAGTCCTCATTCAGGCAAACCTCAACGATTCTAGAGGGAGCTTTGCCGAAGGGCCTGATCATCCAGTTCGAAGCCCGTGTACAGCAACAGTCTTTACAATTACAAAAGGCTACTTAGTACTGGCCTTTTTAGCACAGGGGAGTTCAGTAGATGGATCACACGTTCTCTTGGAACAGCCGCTGCTGAACAGAGACACGGTGATTAAAAGGCATGGGGAGAAGCCATAGTTGCTCGTAAACTGTGAGAGCTACAGTATTCTCTCAACCGCCCCATTTCTTATGGGACAGAATCTATCCCATAGGAAGGGTTTCAATAAAAGGAGAGGCCATCACCCACTTTGTTTAAAATTCCACCCCCACATCCAAACAGCAAGATTCTGCTGCATCCTCGTTATTGGCACATCTATTCTGGTTCACAGAAACCACTACTCTGAAGCGGCACAGGTGCACAAGAGTAAAAATGTCAGGCACGATCAGAGCTGCTAACAGCCCCAACGCCAACACCAAGGTAAACTGTCCCTCTAGAAATTCACTAAGCTACACAGAACTTTGACTAGGCTTTAGGAGTTGGAACACAGCACGAACCTGACATCTGAAGGCTGACAGCCCCCCAGTTATGGTACAATTATGGCTAGACTGCTACCAGGTCTCATCAGCAGGGTGAGCAGCCCTCTGAGAAAGCACAAAATTGACCTCTAATAAAAAGGAGACATAATGCAAAACACTTAAGATTATATAAATACAGAACAGTCCTTACATTGACAGCTATGCA